AAAATATAATTTCATTAGTGGTATATCTTCAACATATTGAATAATTTTTTCCATTGAAATTCCACAAGATGTGGTTTCCCCCTTCCGTACGTTCTACAGTTGGCTGAATTTCAGTTAAACAAATGAAAAACAAAAAGCATTCGTACAGCAGAAAATGAAATTCACCCCGTCGACTTGATGGACACCCCAGCATTGCAATAAAAACTTGGTTAATAAAAAAAAACACCCCAGCATTGCGTGTTGCGCCCTCCCTCTCTTGGGGTGCAGTACTACGATGCCGTTGGGGTCACTCAAACCCCCAGAACTGAGCCTCTACTTTAGTCAATCCTCTTTGGTCAGGGGTGTCAAGTGTTTGTAATGGCGTTTGAACTGTCAAACCCACTGCCAGAGAGGATTGACTAATTGAACAGAAACAATAGGGAAATGTCGATTAATTTAGATGTAAAACTGAAGAGAGCGAGTAAGATTTACCACGAAGGGGTGAGTGTTTTCAACTAGTCTTATGTCAATGTTCAAAATTCTCTCGACAAACTAATAAATAGGATATACTCAAGGAAACAGTGGCTGGTTTGCTTCTACTCCAAGCAAATTCTGATGTCAAGCACGATGGAATTTCCCTCAGTATGGAGGGATCTGTCAATTTGCAGTTGAGTTCTAAAAATGTTGGGATTTTTGAGGCTTTTTATAACTCAGTTAAGGTAGTAAAGTGTTCTTATCAAGTTCTAATGTCTTCAAACTGATTTTCAGTGAGTTGACGTTCAATTTATTTATTGATAACTCTAGCCTATACAACTGGTGCAATATACTCTAGCTGTAGCTCCAGCAGGGAGAATTCCCAGTGGAAAGACTGAAATTCCCTTTGAGCTGCCCCTGAAGCCTCGAGGATCGAGGACTCTTCACGAAACTTATCATGGAGTTTTCGTTAATATTCAATACGTCATACGGTGCGATATAAAAAGAAGTTTTCTTGCCAAGGATGTGAGCAAGTCCTTGGAATTTATGGTGGAGAACAAGGCGGGTCTGCCGAAGGAAATTCAAGTGCCGAACAAAACCGTAAACTTCAAAATAATGCCGGAGTCTCTGCAAAATGTTCGAGATAGAGCCAATGTTCCCCGTTTCTGCATCACTGGAAAGATAAATTCAGTAATTTGTAAAATCTCGGAGCCACTCTCTGGGATGGTAATTATCGAAAGGTGTGAAACAACGATTAAATCGATTGAATTGCAGCTGGTGAGGGTGGAGACTTGTGGCTGTGCTGAAGGATACTCTAGAGATGGTGAGGTTTTCTTCCATTGAATAAAATAATTTTTTTCATAAAAAACACGAATTGGTTTTTATTATTCATAGCAACGGAAATCCAGAATATACAAATTGGCGAGGGGAATGTTTGCATCGGTTTGCCTGTACCTATTTACATGATATTTCCGAGATTATTCACGTGTCCAACATTGAGTACTAGTAACTTCAAAATTGGTAAGAATTACTGATTAAAAATTGAGCTCCATTGAAGGCCAAATAAAATCACTGACACAATTTCTCGTTTCAGAATTTGAAGTGAATCTGATAGTTGTTTTCGAGGATGACTACCTTGTAACAGAAAATTTTCCCATCATTCTGGAGCGTCACTAACGATGATCAATAAATTTTGTAAATTCTTTGTATAAAATTGTATATTATCCGTTTTATATGATTTCCTCGCGATGTATAATGATTGTTGTCATAATTGAAATAATCGTCGAAAAAAGTGATCACTCAAAAAATGCCCGTTTAATCTGGCAATAAATTTGTCTAAATGATAAATATCGGAGTTAATCGAGACCAGCTTTTTGAATGAAAAGTCTGTAGTATTTTTCCACACTTCTATTTTGACTCAATCCAACTGAGACTAACAACACAACATATCCAAGGACAAATGTTAGGAACTTGTTCTGTTTGAACCAGCCGACAATTCCAGTGCTTTCAGTCTTTCTGAAAAATCATACAAGCAATTAACGATTAAAAGGTGAACAAAAAGTTCATTTAATTTGTCAACTCACTTAAGCGAGCAAAAATCCTGACTGTAGACCAATAAATGCCGAATCCTCACCAAATCACTATTCTGTACCAAATAATATTTATTTGGAATTTTATTCCTCACTGACAGCTCGAAGCCCTTGGGAACATCACGAGCTGATGAAAAAATTGATTCAATTAGCTCACACTAAGTACGAAGAATTGTCTTGCAATATGTAAACAGTGCCATTACTCGTGTCTCCCTTTTTCACATCTGGATGATTAATAACTTCACACAATGCAATGCAACTTATTTCACTGCCCAACATACTTCCACCCCAACCGTATCCTACTGGACTGAATCCCAGACTGACACCCAGTTCACTAGACAAATAAATGCCATCTCCAAAGAGCCCAGGCTGAAACACCAATTGACTAAAGTAACAATTGCCCACATTTGTTTAATTCCTCGAAAATATGATTTCATTTTTTTTTGGTCTTTTCAGAACTGTGGAATGAATATTCATGAATGTTGATAGATTACCAGGTATGTAAAGAACCCGTTTACCTGGCTCATGTGTTGCTGAATACCATAATGAATAATGGAATGAAAGTTCTCCAATCTACTTCCATGGTAGGCGTAAAAAGTGGAATGACCTTTTATTGATGCTTTCCAGCGATCCTCCTTGGACGATTGATTTGGAGTTGCCACTTGGAATATTAAATTTGGCCTTGCAACCATCACTTCGGACGGAACTTTGCTCAGTATTGTCTCGTACTTGAACAGGAGTCAGTGGTTTAATTAAAAATTTGTCAATTTTTCATGGCCAAGCAGACGCATCTTCATGGAATTTAACTTACGTTTTCTTTTTTCGCGGACTTGAGGTAGGGGTCCCGATGAGTTATTAAAACCCAATAGAGCAATTCGATAGCTTCTTTATAAGTTTCGTAGAGCTTAGTATCTTCTAATCTGTCGTAGATGATGGCAAATGGTGGAATTCCTTCCACAACTTTCCTCTGGAGGTGAAGTGAACATTTTTAGCTTAATACTGAAAGATATTTCGGTTGGAACAAGCCCCGATGGGTTTTCATTATCACTCTTACCAATTTTTCAATATCTTTGAATTCACCCTGGATGTACGACGAGGGAAAGGGTTTCAAGCAACTGTCATGACGATAGGTATTGCATGCAGCTACGAATAGAGACCATTTTAAATCAGCAGCATGAGAGTCACGATTCAGGACACTCTTCAACGCCAGAACTTTCTTCTCGAATTCATCCAGTTCAACAGATTTCACGGAGGACGTACCACTAGCAACACTCAGTATCGTGCCATTTTGAGGATTTACGTTATTTATTTCAATTTTATCTTTCAAACTTTTCTTCTCCCACCACTTACTGTACATCTGCGGAGTTGTTTCCAAACAGGCCATCTTCAGATGGTACAAAGAAAATCTAAAAGAATGACAATTTCTTTCTGCTGTCATTGGAAAGTGACATTTCAAAAAGGTGACTAAAAAAAAATTTCTGACACCCACATCAATGTCACAAAAATCAACATTCCTAAAAATACTTACACAATAAAACTACACGAAATTTATTCACAACATTCATTACCCTGTGATGACCCTTGATCCTCGGAAATTACCTCTGACTGACTTTTCCCAAACGCCAATTGTTTTTCGCTTCACTTTTCATTTGTCAATTCCCATCACGACCAAGTAAAAAACAAATCCCCTCCCTCATTAAACCTCACCCATTGACCTTTACCAGTAAAAATCCGGTTTTCGTAGGCCCCCGGTCCCAATGTTTACAATTATCAAGAATTCTCCCAATGTTTATTGACATCTGCAAAGAGCTGCAGTGAAAAATTCCATATCCCTAGAAGCCCCAGATATCCCTAGGTTCCACGTAATCTCGAAAAGCTTGATTGCAAAGAAACAAAAACCGTAATCACAAATCAACCATTGATAATTACAATCATGAAAATCTAATCAGTTGTAAAAATTGATTATTCTTCCGTCATACCTTCAAATCACCATCTAGTTGATTTTAAAAATTACCTCTGAAAAATCCAAAAGATGAACACGGATAAATATTAAAATGCACATTCAGCTTGATTTGCATTCGGCAAAGTAGAAATGAAAAATTGGTAAAATAAGTGGTGGTTTTGGTAACCGTGAATTGGCAACTATGATCCTCAATGTCATGCCTCAAGGTAAACTATCGATGACGTCAGTGTACGTCACTTAACAAGTGGGAGTGGATGGATGGATGTCGGCACACGGTTGTGGTTTTCTGCAAGATCGCCCTCGGTATTTTGTTGGCGACCTAACCGCTTCGACGTGATAATGCTACGTGTCTTTGAGAGATGAAGGTCCGACCAATCGCCTACCATAACCCATCCACATTATCAAAGAATATCCTCACAACCTAACTCCTCTCGATTAACGCGATTATTAAGAGTGCTAAAACATCGGGATTCAAGTGATAAGAAGGAAAACCATTCTAAATCGCACGTGTGATATTGTTGGTACGAGAGAGTGCTATTAAACCGAAATTTTTCACTTTGTACATGGAAAAACACCAAAATACCATTGCGCATGTCCGCACCCGCATGACGTCACGAAAATTGTGGTTTTGATAAAACGAAAAAAATATATATACATAAGAAAAGAAAAGTAAACTAAACGAGGGAGCTGTTAAAGTGTTGGATCTTTTACCCAAATGTGAACAATATTCTAGTTCGAGGTTTCCCAGTATCGCCCAGTTTTTGTTTTCCTATTTTGAATATATATATTTTTTTTTGTTATTATTGTGTCGTTACAAATGATATCATCGCAGTTCGATTGTGTTGGAGACCGATGATAGGTGCCTCTCGTTAAATGATTTGACTGTGGTGATGCTGAGTGTCTTTTTTTTTTACTTTTTTTTCTCATGTGAAGAGAAGGAAACGTATAAATAAGATTGAGTGAGAGGGATATAGAGTCAAGTGGTTGAGTGTAGAGTTTCTGAGAGGAGAGAGGGAGAGAATTGCTGGAGACGGGGAATACGAAGAGGAGAGTCCCGTGGTGTTGGTGGACGCCGCGGGAATTGTGCCGGTTATTTTTTTGGAGATTAATCTGAAGGGATACCAGCAATATTACTGATGAAAAAACGTTGAGTGAGTATGTGGATGATTTTAACGTTTAATTTTGTTGAATATTATATTTTTTACATCGTCTCCGGAATGCATCCTGCACTCGCCAACAGTCGAGAGAAGGGGGGGGCATATGACATTGACTGTATTTGGTACCAAAAGTTGAGATCATTTTATGGCAGCTGGATATGGAGAATTTTTATTCATTTATTGCTGAAATTAAAACGGGTATTTTTATATTTTTTCTGGCTTGTTATTAAGTTTAATGATCGAGGACAATCATCGAATCGATCATCGACCGCCAGCCAACGTTTTTCACTATAATTATTTAGTAATTATTCAAACAACTCGACAATATCCGAGCTCATTCATTATTAGCGAGTCTAATACCGAACTGGAGAATTTTCTCCATTGAGTGGGAGACTGGACATTTTTATCACAACTGCGTGACAAAACAAATAAAATCCATTATGAAACAGTCATTCGCTTGTTAAACACTCGAGAAGAAATGCATGAATAATCTCCGATAGGAGATACTGAGGAATTATCCGATGAATAATAACCAGCATAAACAAATGTTTGTGCTTGTAAATACCCCTGATGTCGATGACTTTTTTCGTAAGTCAAAGTACATCGTGTTGTATTTTTCGTCGTTCGTCCGCATGGAGATAAAATCCACCGAGGAGAAAGAGCGTTACAAAAAGGATAAAACGAGGGAATTGCAGGGGGAGAGAAAAAAAAAAGGGAGAGAATTGCGTGCATACGTCTCACTGGATGAGCTGCATACCACAAGATCTCCTGGCGTTTTCGTCTTCTCCTTCGCAGAAAGATCTCAACTCGTCTGATACCGCCATCTGCTCGTGAGCATTTTTGTATTATCCCTTTTAAATGGATAAAACTGCATCGGTACTGCAGAGAGCTGTTCCAATCCGCTGTTTATTATTCTTACTTAATTCAATTGCTGTAACCAATCAACAAATACGGCACAAGCTAGAACACAATAAATCCTTGTAATGCTAATTATGACAACACAATGAGTAACGAGTGATGTCTGGCGACTCTGGGAATAACCTCGGTTCGTCTCAAGCTCAAAGTCATATCAGATAGATAAAATTTTTCCATTTCAAGTCGTCATTCAGATGCAATTATAACTAGCAAACCTAAATCCCCAAATTCCTCGAGGTGACAATCTCATCCATCAATTCTAATCATTACGTATGGAGAAAAAATGTCTACTGCTAAGTGCCGCCGAAGGTGCAACAGGATAATATGTATTTTTCACAGATCATTGGTGTTAAATACACGTGAAAAACAAATATTGCGTGCAGTGGTTACGTTAACGTGGCTGACTGAATCATACGTTCGACGAGTGTATTTTATTTTGTGAGTATCACCGTCAGATTAAAAGGTCATTGGATGAAATTGATAATTACGAGGCTGAGCGAAAATCATCAAAATATCCAGACAATTCATTGATGAAAATAGTTTATTATTCTGCAAGAGGAGAGAAACCGATTAGTTACACAAAATTACATAAAAGGCATCAATATTTCAAGTATTATCCAGTAAATCTGATCTCCAGGAACCTAGACCTACGCAACAGATAACAGAATACCTATGTGAGTGTCCCTCGAGACCTAGAGGATGACAATGAGGGCACAGCATGAAAAGCGAAGTAGAAAATATTTGTGAAAAATATGTCGATGGAACAAATAGTTGGAGTTCACTTTGACCACGACCCCGTATCATCGAATAAAGAAATATTCAATGTGAATTCTCGGTTTTATGGTAAATTCTCATCCAACGCATGTGACCTAAACGTTGACTCTTTCTATTAACTTGAAAGGAAAAAAAGCGACAGAAACTACAGCTCTACACACTTCGGAGTATATCTTCATGTTCTCATGACTTCCTACTTTACAAGGTCTTTCTATAAACACATGGTGTCTTTTTTTCATTTGCTCAACTATTTCCGGAATTGAAACTTTTCTCCGTGTCGACATTAATTCTACTTTATTCTTGCTTCATCCCCAAATCTATCACTCGCTAAATATTTACAAGCGCCTTTTTTAGAGTGATATCGAATACGTCTCAGTTCATCGTATTCTCAAAGTCGTCAATAATTTCAAATCACTGCCTGTTGACACTGTTGGGACCTGGAATTCTGGTGTTATCTAGTACAATTCATTCTTGCTGTTAATTATAACTGATCTCTTGCATTCTTACGGTTTTCATTGATTGAAAATATACGCTCGAGTACAAGATTGTTATGCGACAATTGATACTGAAATTCGAAACAAGAATTCTCAAAAATAAATATTAATTACTACAACGACATTGATAATATTATTGTTAATAACAGGATAGATGGATTGATACACGGAGAGTTGAAATTAAGTATGAAAAATATTTGGAACACAACAGCATTGATATGATAGGAATGCACCAAACACGGTGACAACAGATGAAGAAAAGCTGGTATGAATTCAGTCACATACAGATGATACCTATGTATGATGTACGTGTTGTATTGGAGGATTTTAGTTGAAGAGGTCCTGCACGTGGCAATAGGACCACGTGGGGGCCTTTAGCCTGCGTCACCGCACCAACACACCGACACCCCATCGTGTATTGATTGAGGGTGGCCATGGTCGTTTCCATGGTAACGTTTCTTTTACCTGTACGACGTGCACGATCATCCAGATATACGAGGTAAAGGTATCAACCCTAACCCACTGGCTGTATGTGTGTATCAGGCTGTAGGGCGTTCAACACTTGTCTCTGACCCCTATTCCACTCGTACACACTTGGAGGGGGTTGAGGGTCTTTACCTGTGTGTAATGCCTTCACCTGTTCGCATCTCTCTGATATCTCCAAGGAGGTGGTGGGGGTGAAAGAGGTGGTGGGGTGGGAGGAGTGATATGGAGCTATAGGATCTACCCACGGATAACCAGCCCACGTACATGAGTCAAGAGAATTTTCCAACCTCCCAACCCTTACCCCTTTCTTCACTGCTGTATGCCAAGGGTTATGTAAGTGGTCAAGGAGTAATGGCAATTGCAATATCAAGGACGAGTCAAGTGCAAGTCTTTTGAGATATTTCAAATGATCGATACTATTGTTTAACATAATTCGATTGTTTCACTCCACTGAGAGAATGTCATGTTTTCAATCAAGAGGATTTATATTTTTTATTGCACTCGTGGGGTCAAGACTTGGATCGATCACTGAGGAAAATGAGGGATTGCACCTGATGTGATAATTGTAACGAAGTTGCTTCCTCGAATGGAATAATTTTTTTTATCTAGGTGGATCAATGACGGCTGGTCAACGGGATCTTAGGAAAAGCCAGTGTAGCTCAATGAAATCGATAAATATACACTCTCTTGTAGAGCTCTAGGTGTCTAGAGTCTAGACTCTAGGAAACAACCCGGCTATATATTGTTTAGCTTTCACACAGCCATCATGCTGCCTATAGATAAATGTAGGAGAAGTTGTTCGATCAAGCCCAGTGTATTTTATTTTCGCATGCACAGACATACACATATATCCTTAGTTAAATCGTTGGAGGCTTTTTTTTAATAGTAACCAGAATTATTTTTGTACAGAGGGCGTATAAATATATTTGTGTTCTAGAAATATTGTTAGAATGACACGAGACTGCATTTTTAGCACTCACGTGAGTCTAATTCAAGTGGAGATTGAAATTCAACGAGGCTACTCACCTTCCCATCATGACAATTCATTTTTGTGTATTATTAATGGATCCATTGGGATTGCGTCAAAATTATGGAGATGTATTAATCAGCAAGGGCTCTAACTGCATTACACTGTCATGATCAAACAGAGACATCAAACCCAAAGGGCACTAAACCCATCAACACTGTTTATCTCCATCCCCTCAATCGGCTCTGGCATTCCCTTCCAGTCCCCACTGGAGCCCAAACCACACTCTCCTCTAGCTCCCTCAATGAGGGTGGATTCTAGCCTGTTGCTCCTGCATTCCCCTTACCCTCTCAAGTCTCCCACAACATCCCCAACATCTCAAACCACTTTTCCCTTCGAGCTTGTTACCCACCATTTTTTACTCACTCTTATCAAACACCCATTATCCGCTAAACATCATTAAAACATCTCCAATTGTCGACGATCGAGGCATCCAACCCCATCAAGCCCCATTAAACCACCTCCTCTATTTTTCCAATTCCTACGTCGTCTCGCTTAATTTTCATTTGCCCTGACGAATCCGAGAAAAAGAGAAAGAGAGAAAAAGGGAAATCAACGAAAGCATAAATGTTTTGCTTAACCGCTTGGCTTGGATCTAGTCCGATGGTTGTTCTCTCTCTTATGGAGTGAGAGGGGGGGTTGATTTTTCGTAGACGCTCGGCGTCGTTTGTTGGTGAGGAGGAGTGGGGTAAGAGGGTGTCAGCAAGACGGCGTAGAGGAAGAAGAAACAGAGAGTGATGAGGAAGAAGGGAGGGAGGCTGCGACGCCGGGCGTCCAGTGGATCGCGCCTTAAAAGGTTCGACGCCGTACGCACCCGACAGCTGCCAGGCCCTCCACCTCACCCTCCTCACCCTCCTCACCCTCCTCCACCAAGTAAGGGTGCTCTATGCCAACCCCCTCTCTCACTCCCGCTCCCCACACTTAAAATCCTCTTTAATTTTTATTTTTTACCATTATTAGTGGTTTCTCGATTTCACAGAGAAACTGCCGGTCCATGGTTGATCAAGATTGCGAGGTGTTTTTCTCATTTGCCTTGAACGCTCCTGTATTTTATCCCCATGTCGTCCGGCTGAATCGGCCGCGTGCACACACGATGGTGTCACATTTCAAGCTTATACGCACCGGCGACGGCTGCACATAAGTCGATGTTACCCGGCGCCTCTGACCCGTACCTATTTCATCTCACTCTATCTCACATCCCCCAGGCTTATTTACCTCTTTATGGGGTTTGTCGTGGGTGTGGGGAGTCATGTGCGTACAACAATAAACCTGGAGGTGGAGGATATTGCGTGTATTACACTCCATCAGGCGAACAGGCCAGCAGGCCAACAGCTTGCCTCACGTACTTCAATTGATTATAATGCCTTCCGCCTGAAATCGCTTCATGAAATTCACTTCGTTTTTCATTCACCTGTTTAATCATGTCATTACCAATAATGCTATTGTAGTTTAATATTTACGTAATTCGTGATGAAGTTGAGAGAAAATTGTAACAATACCCATCGAGTGATGCTTTCATCAGACAGACTGTTATCAATGGCAATAAGGATGAAACCATTGCGTGTATACTAGCCTCGTAACGATTGCAATAGTATATCAGTTATTTCAATGAGGGAATTTTTTTTATTTCAATAATTTTATTATTTCAACGAGAGAAACAAATTTATCATTGTTTCCTATGGATCTGTCCTGTGGAGACAAATCTATCACTGATTTTTTTCCTTCTTGCGAAGGCACAGATACATAAATGAATTTCCCCTGATTCGGAATATCTAAAAACTCGTAAGACTGATTCCTCATTCGTCAAGTCGAATCGGAAAATTCAAATTCGCCGCACGTACGTAATTAATTTGAGATTTATATTGGAGTAGTAATGTGCGGGTAGGGGAATGTTTCGAGTGATTGATGAGAAAATGTGTTGGTATCTGCTGCCACACGCGTGCATAGGCCAATGGAGAATGTGCTGGTAACATGTGTTTTTGAGTCTCCTACCGAGGCGTACTGCAACTCCAGGGGATAAGAGATAGCACGTGGGAGAGGAGAGGATTTCTGGGATGCTGTGCCCGTGAGAGACAGTCTTACTGTTTCAACACTGCATTATCACCACACGCGTGATGGTTAACTTGGGGGCCACGTGAAACTTGAGACGAGAAGAATCTTCACGAGGTTGGACTAATAAGATCATCTCGAATGCCGAGGCATCTCCTGTGATACATCTGATCACTCCACCACATTCTTTCTTCATCTGAAATAATAATTCAGCTGTTCATGTTGAGACGAAAAATCCCCATGGGGCTCCAACAGGGCATTATCGTATTTACAATTTCCCCTAAATTTCTCAGTCGGACGAGCGAATTCGATTTTTTCCCCCGAGTGAAAGGCATTGTACGATAAATAGATAGACTTGGCTGTATCTCTTCCCCTTCTGGAAAATCAGTTGGTTAGTACAGCACTCGAAGAGATTTGTGATAAGTGAAAGACTCGAGTGTTGCCTGGGGTCATTTATAAAAGTATATACGCAAGGTGGAGGAACAAGACGAGGGGGAAAATTTTCAGACGGTCTCTCTGGCGAGGAAGCTGGGGCGTCTGGAGGCTGTGGGTTGTGCAGCTTGCGACGATAATTGATAGATTTTTGGGGGCTCTCGCGTGTGCGGCGGATGGAGAAAGGGTTTCGAGTTAGTGTAGAAACAGTGGTGAAGAGATTTGGCAGTGTATGATGTGAAAAAAAAGAGAGAGAGAGTTGTGGTGGAATGAGGGTGAGGAGGAAGAGAGGATATATGGCACACGTCACCGGGAGCACGTGCTCTGGTTTCTGGCGGCTGCTCCTGCTCAGCCTCACCCCAACTCCAAGTTTTCTCCAACTCACTCCAATTCCTTGACAACAGTTGAACTGTCTTGCTTCAACTCGGCCCCCAGATGATCTAAATTTAGAGAGTTTGGCTTTCGCCGTGTCATAGGACACGCGGCTCTCGGTAGGCAACGAGTTACCAATAATGCGTCGATTTCCATTTTCTACGTCAGACTCGATGCTGTTTCAATGTATAGGCAGTAAATCGAGATCAATCACGTTCTCTTAACACTATTTTATTTTTCACGTGATGATTTTTTTTATTCCGATATAATATGCATCGGTTATCGAGTTACCGCTCGTTCGACCTCTTTGTTCTACCCACGTTCTATTCACTCCTTTTTTTTTATAGTCAGCTAATGTATCGTATTGTAAGGATGACACTTCGGAAAGGCGGTTGAATCCCGTTAAATATCCACTAGATTCTATTTGTAGAGCTTCTGCTGATTATTTAAACATAACAGTTGCTCCCAAACGAATTGTTACGGACGAGAATGAATATTTCAAGCAAGAGCTTACGTATCATCTAAATTGAGTTGCATATTCTTTATGCATTATATTACTAGTGAAATATTTCATACCTTAAAATTGCCCGACCAGTGATATTTTAATAATCATGAAAAAATCACCCAGATTTCTTACAGTCGATATTTCAATTTACCTCATCTCCGATGGCAGACGTCATCGGAATTTACAATTGGCTTCACCTATCCTTCTCCCTGTTGCAGATAACGACTCAGATGCAGGAGAGATCATATTGGTACAGATTTATTTTTGGAATGACATCTGAAGTTAAGTCGATAGAATAACGTGTTACCGCATGACCCTTTCACACTGGCTCAAATGAAATTCATTGAAATTGGGGGAGAATTGACCCAGTAATCAGCGAATGGGGGGTAAAGAATAGATCGGCGCTGATCCGACGTCATTCACAGTCATCTAATTTTCAAGCTATTGACGATGGAGATGGCTACTAATCACCCTAATTATCTGAAATCAACAACGAGCTGTGGTTTAGGGTGTAATCCATCCGGGGGACATGTAGCCCTCCTGGATCGTCGTATGTCCTTTGAGGCAGGTCTGTTCCCTCATCACATAAATTGCCTCCTGTATAAGGAAAATTGATAATTACGGTTCGTGGCTGGGGACATGAGCCCTCCTGGGCTGTACTTGTACCAGCCAATGTCATGTACATTAGGTTTGCTTCTTGGATCGAAAATGAGACTGCAAGGAGAGCACCAGCAGCCGGCCACTGTAAGCCGTCAGCTGCCGACAGATTTATCGAGTGGCACGTGCCGATCCCAGAGTCAACCATGTCGTTTTACTTTCCTGTTTGCTCTGGGGAGGAATTAAAAGAATTCAAAGTTTAGGCAGTGCTACTTCGGGATTTGGACGAATATCGATATTTATTCAATGTAAAGGTACAATTTCTACATTGTCAAGTCATGAGTCGTTTCTATCATTATTGTCACTCTCCGACACTGGGATGCCTTAATAATTACATCTATTTTGAAGCTCTCTTCTTGTAGACGAATTCTGTGATAAATCATGAGAGCACTTCCAAGTATTTGGAGCGAAATGCATCAAGATTGAGCAATGCTGAGGATTAAAAATTCATCGAGACATCATCCTCGCGTTCATCCATCGTGGTATGAGAGTCTCTCATCTTTCTTCAGCGCACAGTATCAATGCACCATTTATATCTGTATAGACCACTGAAGCTTTATAGATTTCAGGGGAGTTAGTATATATGTGCATTGCTAACTTACCTATACATTTTGCGGAGGAAGGAAAGCCCGGATAGATCAGTTCCAATTCAATTACGTCACTTTACCTCGACTCAAATTCACCACCCATTGTTCCAACTCGCGGGCTAATTTATACAAGACCATCGGTTGAATACCTCACGAGAGTCATTTCCTCTGGTTTCGGGTTAACCGAGCATTTGGACTTTATGTGGTACGTCTTGCGATATGCCATTTCATTGCTCCAGCTATGACAGATATAAAGAGGGCTTTGGCTTCAGTGGTACATTACCCATGAACATTTATAATCATCGGAGTTTGACCCCAACAACTTCTCCAATTCCTGTACTTTTCCTCATATTTTATTGATGACAGAGTGAAAATTTTGTACAACCTGGAAAATGTATGTGACAGTTTCCGACGGTGGATTCTTTCAGAAATCATACTCATGCAACAGACATTTTTCACCGAATTTAATACGGTCTTATAATGAGAATGTCATGCAGTATTGGAGAAAAAAAAATAGTCGAGTTGAGGTGAGGATTATTCACATGGGAATTTTGGCATAGAGCCGTTGGAAAATTCAACATGCTGAGTGTGAGTATTAAGCGTAGAAGAAGGCGTTGGCGATCACTGTCCCTAAAACAGAGTCTCTCCGCCTTCGTGTTGCTGTTGGATCCAGTCGTCTTGGGGTATGAAAAGTATAGGCGGAGATTAGTATGTGTGAGGATTGGGGGAGATTGAAGTCACACGGGGGGTGTTGTGTGGGGAAAAAGCGTATCGGTGTGGTATTTTGGTTTTGGCTCGGCACGGGCTGCGCGCTTCTGGGAGTGAAGTTCTAAAAACAGCGGAGGTAAGTCCTACAAGAGGCAGACAGCTGCTCTTTTCATTGCTAACTACTATTCGCTTGATACCGTATGCCATCCTCCATTGCTACCTTTCTACCAAACACCATTCAAAACTTATTTGAGGGTATTTTTTCCAAATTATATATTTGAGTATTCTCCCTCTTACTGCACTTGGTTGTTCTCCTATTATTGAATTGAGTGTCCTCTTTGGTGATGCATATCAAACCCACTGATTTAACTTTTCCAAAGTGTCATTGTCTATTGTCACAATAAATTATCATAATTCACTTGTCGATAAGTCACGGTAAAACAATGAAATCCACCATCGCGCACTCAAACACTTCTTCTTCTTCATCTGGGCCTCCCTCGAGTGCCGAATGAGAGTATAACCCCGCCGGTTAGCTTCCCCGATTTATTTCTTCACCGCCGAAAATTATTTTTGGTATCTTTTCCTCGGTTTGTTAATACTCCACTGGCCAACAACCACCACTCTACACACTGACTTTCGGGTTTGCTTTTAATACGGAGGCAGGTTCAAATGTGATCACTACACAACGCTAAAATTGTAACCCCCTCGTTTCACTCCCAACACCACCCCAGTTACGCACCTCTCCATCGGGTGGAGATCATCTCCTTTGGGCTTTTTCTCTCCTCACTCTTCAACAACACAGTGTCACATCATAGTTAAGTTGAGGAGTTTAGTGCGTCAACCGCGATCGATCAAAACGCTCCGACATTTCACTCTCTGATAGCTTCATTCAGCGATATATTCCTCGAGTTTGATAGTGCAGCTTATTAGCAGCATGACATCTGAGTTATTGTAAGTCTTCCACATTATCAAGCTTTTGAGCCTTTATCATCAATCTTTATCATCATGTCGTCAGTTCTCTCAGACCAGTGTCACTTGCGTCAACCTTTTTTCCCTCAATATTCGCTCTATGAACGGTCACCTGTCAGCATCATCTCCAACGCCTCCATTGCAAAATGGCTGTCCCCTTGGAAGCGTCGGTTCTTCGGACTGTTAAAATTCATTGCCATCTGTCTATCCTCGGTTATGCGTATCATCACGTGTACCTATCTCATTATCTCCATCGATCGATATCGTACATCGAACACTGGAGCTCAAAACCTTGTGTGGGTATATTGTCTACGGAATTCTCCATAAATTAGATTGACGCTATCCAGATTTCCCACATGTCCAAAGTTCATTTCGAAACTCATTTAAATTTCCATGCTGGTTTTTTAAAATTCTTTTATTTGATTGGCACTTTGTGATCGTCACCGCTGAATCAGTGTCGAGGTTGCACAGTCGCAACTTTTTCACCACTTGCCAATTGTTTTGTCCTAATGACAAAAATATATCCCACAAAGTTTTGGCGTTGAGTGATTTTAATGGACGATAATACCCATTGAGAATGCCAATGGGGGAATATACATTGGTAAATTCATCGCTAGTTCCGAAAAGTTGGACAATTATTATGGTAAAATACACATACGACGCAGTCACAGTCATTCTGCGATCGGTACGAGTAACTTCTTGATATTATGGACATTATACTGGGATTTCACTGGACAACTGGGTCTTTCACTTACCAAACTATTGAGTAAGCTCAACAACAAGGTTTTAATACTGAATGAAAAGCACTCCATTGTCATGCATATTGTCATCGTTGTGATGTTTTCAGTGCGATATTCATTGAACAAAATCCCTTCATTTATTCTCACTCGACTAAGCAACTCGAGTGAGATGAAAAATCACGTGTCTCAAAAGTCGGGGATAATGATATTTTTTTCGTGGCATTCATGATGAATGTGTGTGGAGTGGCTGTGGCTCGTTTGAAATGCGCCAGCGATTTCCGAATCGCTCTAACCTTCTCTAAACGCGCCGTTTCATAGATTTTTTTTTCCCCCCTCGTTTTCCCTCTCTTTTCATTTTTTTCTGATCTCGTGCCAAGTGCGCAAAAGTGCATATTTCGCAGCTTAGTCATGGCCCTGATGGAACATGAAACTCCGCCCAACAAAGAGAACGCCTCCTCGGTGGGTTTTTCAATCGCCAAGAATTGAAGATGTTTGACCGAAGGAAGAGAATGAAATAAACATTTTCCCATGATATTTTTCCGGTGTTAATGGGGGGAGAGATTAAGAGGAAAAATCTTGGGGTAAAGGAGTTTTTTTGGGGGATTTAAATACTTCCTTGGTTTGATTTCCTCGTGTGGGTCTTTGGTGACTAGTGGAGAAGAGACGGGGATGAACGGAAATCCGGCGGCACGACAGAGTGTACAAAAAAGAGGAAAGACGTGGTGGTGTTAGTCCGTGGAAGAAGTTAAAGATGTAGATGAAAAAGCACGAGGATTGGTGGCCACCTGGTATTTTGGTTTAGGTCAAGACGTCGTTTCCTCCATCTACCCTCTTGGGTACGCACGTTCCAAAGACGAGGGGTTCATCCCTGCATCTCCTCCGGTATCACATGTCGGCAGTTTGACTGCGGATGTTGGGGCTCACAGGAGACAAACGCCATGAGGTCGATACACCCGAGGGAGACGTGACGAGGGAACATGGATCTCAACATTCCGATTTGTCCTCAACGTCTTGACTCCATCCTTTATTCATATAACATGAGGATGTTTCATTCCGAAGGGTCATTACCCATCCCCCTTTCCAGCTCCAAATTTAATTACTCAAAAATCTTCTATTTGCGGTATTCGTCATCATATTTTTATCTATTTTATGGAAAGACCAATCTCGAGGTTATTCAATTTGTACATTTGGAAATGGAATTATTCGGAGTGATTTCAATCATCAAATGGAAATTATTGTATTAATTGATAATAATTCTATTGAGCCGGTGGAATCGATTTATTCTTTACCTGGAATTTTGTTAGCTTTTCGCTCCAGCTAAAATTTAACGCCCATTGGCACTTTTGTGGATATAATCCATACTGATTGAATATTCCCGTTCTCTTAGGTTTCCCCATTAAATTATTCAGTTCCAACTAATTATTCAGCTCCAACTAATGGGCGGAATACTCGGTGGATCGATATATCGACGCTAGAGGATCTTGGCATTTTCGTCCTGCTTCGACTCTGGATGCTGCACTTTTGCTGTCTCATTTCAAAGTGTTGCTTCCTCTTTCTCTCATATTACCTACATCGGGTGCATTCTATTCCGGATAGATGGATCTCAAAATCTTTGCCCCGTCCTCTTGCAGCCCAATTTCACCTCACGTCGATCATTCTTCTTCATCCGGTGGCCCTATCGGGGCAGGTTACCATTCTATTTTGATGTTTGGCTTTTGATCGACTGGGTCACGCGGCTAACCACCATTACTCGATAATGAAAATGGACTTTCTGCGATTTTCCATGAAGAATTCAGTGTGAGAAAACCGATAACACACTCTCGGCTTGGATTTTAATTCAAATTGACGTATCAAATTTAAAATCTCACTGGATTATTCACTAGATTTTATGGCAGGGGAAAAGTTTAAATAAAATGAATATTTCTGGAATCTTTACGAGGGCCACCACTAGTTTTCATCCCCCAATCAATTCCTCCGCACTATTTTGTCAGCAATTGTATTGCTTTTCTTTGTCTCTTCCATCTCTTCAACCTGGAATTTTGGTAATCCCTCGTCAGGCCTGTGGTATCGTATGAAATCTATGTTTTGTAATGGGTATAATGGTTTTATGTAACAATGTTATAAAATAAATGACATAATGAATCTGAGAGAAGTTGAGAAAACTCCTCTCAGCGTCAACCCCACGTCATACGTAACACCGCCATTCAATAAATAATGCACATTTTCTTCACACTCTCTCTTTTTTTTCCCGAATATACTAGTGTCCGCCAATTCGTGAAATATTCAACGATTATATCCCTTTGTCACCATTCAACAATTCAACGAGTGGTGATATCCTAAATGATTAATTTCTGTACAATCTGCTTCGTTAAAAGTGATTTCAAATCATTCCAGAAAATCGTATTCCAATGAATAAATAAAAAACCTTCCTTCCTCAACTATAATACATTTTATATACAGAGATTCGATTTTTTTACGCCAAAAATAATTTTACCATTTACTTATTAAACCTCACTGAATGGAGGAACATGATCAATATAAAATTCAACTGTATTAGAATTGCATGCAGAGATGTATTTGAAATTCAGTCTAGAAATTTAATTGTATTGAGTTAAAAGGTCCATTTTCATGGTAACACTGCCATGCACTTAAATTCTGTCAAAAATTTTAACAATTCTTCATGCCGTGGTGAAAAATACAGGTGCGAGAAATTCTAATGAAGTAAAAATCTGGAGAATATAGTTTTCAAATGAATTGGATTATATGTGATGGCATCCACTGGTTTGCCATCTGCAGGGACCGGAGCATATGGACATTTCTTGATTGTGAGTGACAGCCGACTGGATCATGAATAATATCCCCGTATTATACCGAGTTCATATTTATCCAGGGATGATGACAATATTTTTAAAACCGCCATTACTTTTTCTGTTATCCTGAAAAATTGATATTCTTTAACGAAGAATGCGTATAAAAGAAATCGATGTTTTATATTTTTGGATAAATTCCGGTGATACCGTGAAAACTAAATATTTGACTGAATATCTGTTCTTTCCTTTACCTCTCTACTGTCGTCTGCCTTTTCAATTGATCTTTACGAAAGAGATAAAAAAAATCCTCGCAGTTCATGAAATGACCGAATTCCGTCAAACGGAGTTAACGATTTTTATTACCTGTCCGACTTGATAATACAACTCGCGCTAGAATCTCATCAAAGTCCATTATTATCGTCGTAAAATGAAAAACGAATTTCTGGTATAAGTGACAGTGAGAATTAACCGTCCGTTAGGCATTTAATTTATTTAAAACAGTTAACACAATTACTAGCGGGGAAGTAAAAATGTATAAATTAATTGTACGGGTCCGAAAGAAAATCATTAGCCGGTGAAATTTGAAACTAATGATACTTTAACGAGCTCGAAAAGAAAAATCAAGTTTGCCAAGAGGAGGAAGACACAAATATGGGGAAGAAAGAAGGGGGAGGACTTACCTTTAGCTCGATAGATGAGTCGGTCTACACGTCGACCAGTATCACTGATCCATTCATTCGTATCGAGAAGGTGAACATTATCGACATGAAATTCTTTTGCTTTCATATTTTTAATGTTCGCTCGGAATCTCCGCGTTAATCTCATTGCACTCCAGATAATAAAATTCTGAAGAAGTGTTTTTCCCACTTCTCCTGGCACCGAACATACCTCTGATTCGTCCAATAACGATAAAATAAATAAACAAAGCCATTAATTTTATTCTTACATCCGGCAATTAATGCCTGAAAATCTCCAACAAGAACCCACTAACCTGCAATATCTCTCCTTGAAATAATTATTCTATAAAGTTGATCATTGTGACATCGTGACTAAAAAAAGGTCTAATAAAATCATAAAAATGGTGGAGAACCCCCGAAAAGTGAATGAAGATATCAATTGAGAGCTCACCCAACGATTTAAAAAACAGTTGCAACATAGCTAGCCCAGTTCAGGTGACAGGGGTTGAATCTCAAGAGGCGGAGAGCAAGAAAAATAAAGGGAAAATGTATTGAATTGAGGGAAGAAAGCCCTCATATTTCCCTCATCCCTCTTCACCAAGAGGAAAACATGTTCGCGTCGCACATAGGATTTTCTCTCCCAGGGGGTGAAAACGAAGAGGCGAAGAAGGGAGATGAGTGAATATAAAATGAAAAGAACCAAGAGAGATGAAAAAAAAAAAACACAAATACATAAAAGGATAAAATGTGTGGGTAGAGAAGAGCATTGGTGTATCGCGCACACGCGGAGGGAAAACAGACGTTGAGTTGGTAGTTGGTGGTTCTGATTGGCCGAGTAACGACTGACGTAAGTCGCTTTATCGACCAATGAGAGATACCGGTGGGGCCTCGTAAGCTTTCCCCCCAAGCTAACTATTCCCTCCACATGTGTTTGTATAATCTGTTAATGTACGTGAGAGTGTGTGTTGTTGGAGTTGCCGAAAAGCACTGGTTGAAAGAGTCAGCAAGTCGTCGCGACTGGTACATCACGCTCGGCCGCTGGCACCTCTCTCGGTCGATTCAAACCCACGTTGTCACTTTAAAATCACCCTGAAATAAACCACCAAATTCTTAATCAACTGACTATGTGCTGAGTAATAATAACTTGATATTTTCATTCAGTGTACTGGGACGTGGTGGAGGAGGGATTTTTCTAAATAATCGGCGTAAACAAATGGTTGGTTCAGTTGTGGGGTTTGGTGTTAAGCAGTCAGATAGCTGGTAGAAACAAACTAGATATATGGGGCATTAGGGATTGAGAGGGATTTCCAGTGATTTGAATATAACTAACTCCCTCTAGAGGGTAAAAAATCTGTCTTGAGTAGTGGAGCGTGCAGGCTGCAACAGTGTTGTGGAGACCGTGAAGTGGATAACACTGGGGGCTACATCACTTTCAACGATAAGGAGATTTCTAAACTCTTGGTGAACACACAAGACATTGCCATTGACTACTATTGTTTTGATACGTCTTTGTTGACACGTGCCATTTAAATTTTATCCTTGATTTTCTGTAAAGTGTGTGGGGGTTGCTTTCAGATAAGAACACGTGACTCCGTGTTTTCGTATGATCGGGGGCTCGGGGAGAATGGAATCCACGAGTTTCTTTCTAGTCTACTTCTAGTCGTTTTTCGTTTTGTTTTTTTTTTTATATATATAGATATTTTTTTTCTTTCTTTATCCCAAAGAAATCACTTTTTGAGGATTTCGAGGTCTTTCGGGGTAATTCCGGTGACTAACAGCGGGAAAATTTGGACTAGGGCTGAGGCAGGATGCGGTGATTGGTTTTCTCATGCTCTCAGACTGAACAGTGAATTACGTGTGATCAAGTGCCTTTATTTATTTATTTTTTTGACAAAGTTTTTGATTTAATAAACCTTTGTTTATACTCTGATTGAGGTTTATACGGTAATTTTCGATCTACGTGTACACATATGCGAGATAAGGGCGACAATTTTGAGTTTGGTAAGTTTGAGTTCACCTCAGCTTGTACTTATTGTATTAATATTTGAGGGGATTGTATGGATTTAGCACTCGATCGTGAACTCTTCTGGTTTTTTCCTCTTTATTACCCTTTTCTCAAAGGGTTAGAAGCAATTTTATTCCGATTTTATTGAGCAATTTAGCGAAAAGTTTTGCAGGAAAAAATATAATTACAGGGGTGAGGAGAATTGAGATGTAAAGTTTACAAATGGTCGCGTAATTGTTTGCACATGACTTTCGAAAAGTTCACCGTTGAGGGACATTGTCTTCCACTGTCTAGGAAGCGTTCACCCTCTCCCTGCTGCAAATAAACCTGAACTTTAGGTTGTATTTCGGTATTAGTTATTATTCATTCGTCATTACTTTTGGAGAATTTTGAAAAATGAAGGAATTTTCCTCGAAAGATAAACTCACGTTGATGTTAGACCGGAAGTGTACGTCACCGTGGTCGGTGAACCCACCCACCACGTTTGCTCTTGTATAATAAACCGAATTCGATCGGTAGTGACACCGAGTTTTACCTTCCTGTCTGTTTCTAGCATTACCCTCACCGACGGATTTGTTTGCTCGTTCTTGCAAAATTAAACTCACCACGACAATTTTAGAATTCTTCGCTTTACGTATTATCATAAATAGAAATCAATTTTTTCCTCGCGTAACGCACTGCGACGAAGCAACCGGCAACCAATAAAATGGCGCATTGAAAATTGAACCGATTTTTTCTATTTAACACCCGCACCCTCTCCTCCACCCTGAGACAATCTAATTGAATTTGAAAAAAATACATATATGTTGGTGGAAGGAAGCCGGAATTTCCCACGACCTTCGTAACAATTTCGGCAATTTTTAGGCCGTCACGCCAATATCAGATCGATGTGTATACGGATGCTAGGTTGGAATAGAGGCGAAGTTGGTAGAAAAGTAGCGAGAGGCCACATGCCGTGATAGTTGGAGTGTGTGTTGAGGCCGATATTTGGGTCGCGTGGGGCTACAACACACCCCATTCCACCCCTCACCCCCTCGCGATCGAAACACCAGCCGATTTTCAGAGGTCCATATAATCAGCTAAACTCTCGGTTTAACCAAAATACAGAGAACCACAATAATCATGGGTTTAAAAAAAAAATTTAAATAACCAATCTGACAAGTTCTTTTGTTTTGAGGTAGACACTACCCTCCACCACCCCCCTCTGCCCCCTCAGCGGGGTGAATGATCAGCAATCCACCATTCAAACGCGCCAAACCGAGCGTATGGATAACTTACGAGCTGTGGTCAGTCGGATCGATTACTTCGGGGCTATACCTGTATCACCCCCCTTTCCCCCCCAATGATGCGCACCATGAGGAGAAACCAACCGAGCATTACCTCTTTTTTTTTACTTCTATTTTCCATGTATTTTCAAATTTATTTGTTTACCAGAGAATTCAGTGGAGAGAACGATAGTTAATACAGGAATGGCACAGTGGGGGATATACTCTCGAGGGGATAAAGTAATTACCGGGGTATTTACTGAACTGTTGCCTCCGGAAATGTAATAATCGTGTCGGCAATTGGGCGGGTCGAATGACCACGTGAGATTTCTATCGAAAGTTTGACAGGGTATGATAACGCGGATGGACAGGCTCTTCTGGTATAACGTTTCACAGATGGATTACGATTGTTTTTCCGCAGAGGGACCCCATCAAATTGTGGAAGCTCAGTACATTTTTTGGAAGCTCCAACGATTCACGGAATAAGATTGATAGATTCTTTTTGTTGAGGGGGCTCATCCGGCGAATGCAGTTCATTTGCATTCAACCTCTGAGGACAATGAGGCAAAAAAATTTATAGTCAAATGGAAAAGGACGATTTGCACGTTTTTTTTTTTGGTTTCTTTTTTTTTTTTGTTGAAAACAAGTAGAGAGAGTGCGGTAATGTACCGGGAAAAACGTCGATAAGACGCGCACACGCCGCGAGTGTGAGAGAGAGGGAGAGACAGAGAAAGAGAGAGCCCAGCCACCCGTGGCTGAATTAAAAGTCGATACGCTCTTTTTTTTTCATGTTCCCCATTGTCATTCTTCTTTTTATATTACTTTTACACCCCCCCCCCCCTCCTCCCCCTAATTTTTATTATTTTCTAGTTTTGCAAATGTTTGTGATAGGACTGTTACATGCGTGACGCGCTAACGAGATGTATGTCGATACCGCAATGGGATATCACTGAAGAATTAAAACGTTGCGTTAATGGCTCATTACTGTATGTTAAGAGGATTGCACAGCATTCGTTATAAGTGCATATTAATTAGCCCGGGGGAATGTACATTACTATCCTCATGGCATTATTGATAATAAATATTATTCTATGACGCAATAGTAGAAATAAAACTGGCATTTCTACGGTTTATTGTCATTGAGGTTCTTCCTATTTTTATTGTTGCTATTTTTTAAAATTTTGAATTGCTGAAATACCAGTTTACTTCGAGTGTGATTAATGCTGTAACCATGATAAAATGCACCCAATCGAATTCTATCATGAGAAAGTTGATAAAGAAGAAAACAAAATAGGAGAAAAAAAGAAATTCAATGGAGAGTGAGAGGTGGTGTGTTGAGTAGTTGTGGATGAAACGAGATGGGATTATCGTGGATATAGTTATTATCAAGCCAACCAATACTCAGCACCGAAGACAAGACAGATAATTTCATTCTCGGTAGATGCGTGTACGGAATTTTACAAGTACTGATTTCGTTCATGTTGAAATTCAGATTCTTTTTATTTTCCCATGGAAGGACCGATGAAATTTCAAACCAATTTATCAACCAAATAACAATAAGAGAATTACTACAAGTGTTGATAATAAAAATTATATAATTGTTGTTGCAGTGTTTTTCACATTCCATCCGAATATTTGAAATTACTGTTACTGGTCTTGAATAAGCAGCAACGATGGGTAGAAAGAAGATACAAATCTCTCGTATCACAGACGAGCGGAATCGTCAGGTATTCAAATTGACTGAATGAAAATAAAATAAAGATTTTAGAAAGTTGAGTATCAACGGAGAATTAATGAAATGCAATCTTTCGTGAACAGGTGACATTCAACAAGCGGAAATTTGGTGTTATGAAGAAGGCATACGAGTTATCAGTGCTCTGCGACTGCGAGATTGCATTGATAATATTCAGTTCAAGTAACAAGCTTTATCAATATGCTAGCACTGACATGGACAAAGTACTACTCAAGTACACGGAGTACAACGAACCACACGAGTCACTCACCAACAAGAATATCATCGAGGTGAGTTTATTTATCCATTGCTGGATTTTCCATGAATTTTATATTACACATTAATGAGAACAAAAGCCCTAATGAAATCAATAGATTGTCATTAACCATGTATAACAAAAGCAAGTAGTTTTGACGTTTAAGGTTCACCACGTTATTATTTAGTTTGAATAACCACATGAAAACTCGTCGTCAATCGCTAGAATCAGCTGATATAAATTACAATAGTATTATAATGCACATTAAGTGATAGTTGAGTGCCCTCGGGCGGTTTGGTCACGTGAACCTGTCTGCTGACACTTGCAGGCGCTCAACAAGAAGGAGCATAAGGGCGCAATGTCACCGGAGAGTCCGGAGCCGGACGCTAACGAATACAATCTCACACCACGTACAGAGGCCAAGTACACCAAGATAGACGAAGAGTTTCAAATGATGATGCAGAGGAACCAGCACAACGGCACAAGGGTAATACTCTTCATTCCGCACTCCACATTTAATTTTTTGTTTTTCTTTTTTTTTCTCCCATTTCCCATTTATTTTTTATTCCAATGTTACACCACCGCTGAAGGCCACCGATCTGCCGTAGATTAGACAAACAGAATGATTAGAATCACTGCGTTATACACCAAATTGATTTGCCATCCAATATCGATTCATTGGTATTATCGATTATTTGATTCAGGATGTTGTCGTGGATTTTCAGGGTATGGGACAATCTAACTACACGCTGCCAGTCACTGTGCCAGTTAACACTTATGGGGAATCCCTTCTTGGATCTAGTCCACAAATGGCACACACTAGTATCTCACCGAGACCATCGTCGTCTGAAACGGATTCAGGTAAAATGTCGTTAGGAATTTTATCGAGAATTAAAGGAGTGAGGAGGAAATGATTTTAATAATTGATGGTTTTTCCTCTGCAGTTTATCCACCAGGTGGAATGCTAGAAATGAGTAACGGCTATCCACCGTCAGCTTCACCTCTGGGTGGTTCACCATCCCCAGGGCCATCACCAGCACTAGTTGTTGGCGGTAACAAGGGTGCTAATCCGTCCCGTCACTCACCCCAACCACCTCCACCTCCTCATCCACAGAGAGCTAATTTACGAGTCGTCATACCCACTCCACTATCACAATCGCTCTCTGATGATACCAGTTACGATGTAAGATTTTTGTCTGTGAGTTAATTTCATCATTTTTTTTCTCAAAATTACTCATTTACAATGCATGCGACAATCATTCACTTTAACGTATTGGTTAAGGCGATTCTATCAGTTGTTATGTAGACGAATGTGATTGGTTTAATCGAGTGGAATAATTTTGTTGTGAATAGGGGGGCCACACACAGACTGCACTCAATACACCAGTTGTTGCACTACAGACACCATCCGTAGCTGCTGGTTACTCAAGTTTTGGATCGTCAGACTATTCCTCAGACCTTGGCAGTCTGACGTGGTCCCATCAGAGGTACGTTGATGACTTGTCAATGTATTCGGCAGCCACCATGTCAAGCATCAGGTAATTCATCATCTTGATCATATTTTTTCATCTAAATAATTATCAATGGATTTCATTCTTCATTGCACTCGTATTAAGGAAAATTCTCATCTTTCAAATATTTGAATATTTTCTCATATGAGACTATCAATACAACTCATATATCATTGTGTGATTGTGATTGCAGTAGCCTTCCTCATTTAGCCGTGTCGAGTAGCACCCCACCGCCATCGACGTCTCCCCTGCCCGTGAAAATAAAGAGTGAACCGATAAGTCCACCCCGTGATAGCCTCGGTAATGCAGCTGGTGGTGCAGGAGGGCCAAGTAGTTTGCACCATACAAATTTAACAGTTGGATCAGTGACAACAACAGGCCCACCTCCTCCTCACCACGTAACTCACACAGTACCGCAGAGCCTGAATCTCGTATCGAATCGGCCAACAAGTAATCCACCACCCACCCATTCAGGCAGTATAACACCAACAAATTTACCATCACCGAGTAATGCTGGTAATGTTGATATGAGAACGAGTCATGGTACCGGGGGTAATGGTGGTGGTAGTGGTTCAGATTACGAGAATGGACCGCTGATGAAACGATCTAGGATTACAGAAGGATGGGCCACCTAATGCCGGCCATTTTTGCGGCCCTACTGGCCCTACTCCACTTCGTCGTACAACGGCTGATAATGAACGACCAAATCACTGACTATGTGCTCTGAGGGCTCGTCAAAGGCTCATCCAGCGCTTACCATGTACGAAGAATTGTTTGTTTCAGCCCTGAGGATCTTGCGATAAATCATTATAGCAACAGAAAACATTTGACGTACTTTTCAACGGAATGTAAAAGGGCTTTTGCGATTTTTTTTTATGGGAATCAACTGCAATATGCGGATTTACTACAATCTGTCACGTTCTTCGTTCATTGATTCGCACTTCAGGGGGAAAGGGGAGGGGGGGTTGTGTTTTTTGGTGGAACTATGATGATGATAATTGCGGTGCCATAATGTTGAAATATAACATATAAAATATATATAAATATATATATATATTTTCATGTGTATAATAAGAAGTGTTGTTTGTATATATGTCGAGGAAAAAAAAAGTTCATAATGGTTTGTCGGTATGGCATATACACTAATTCTACACTAATGCATAGAAATTCCACTCTCTTTTTGTTTTCTAAGTTGCGACCCAACTTTCGGGGGATTTTCGATTAGAGGTAATCGAAGATTAAATGTCCAGACGTTTTTTTTTTTCGCTTTAGTGATACCTTGTTGACGTGACGTAATACCGAGAAACTATGAGAAATTATATATATATATATTATTATTGAAGGAATCTGTACCAAGTGTTGGATTCAAAGACCATCTGATGTTTTAGAATTATATCTGTTATATTTTTGGGTGGTAGTCCATCAGCAGCATAATCCGTTGATCGTAACTTTACCTCATTGCAATCGTGTGTGACATTTATTTTTAATTCCCTTTCTTTCTCTAATCTCTTATCAATTTTTTTCCAGTTGTTATTCGGTTCAACTTCCACGAGTAATTGATCTAGTCAAAGAAATTATCAGTACTAAAAAAAGGAAAATAAAAGGAGAACTAGTAACTAGTTGGACGCGCCCAGACAGTTATAAAAGTAAAAGGAAATTAATTTTTTTTTGTTCGTCGAGTCAAAATGCAGTGGAAGTTTTATCTAAATCTCTCCTGGAAGTTAATTTCTTAACTGTCACAGCTTTATTTTTACATTTAATTTGCTCCTCCCCCAGTTATTAATTTTTCTACTTTATCGCGTAATTTTAATTTATCGAGAAAGCCTTAACATTTCGGTACTTATGGAGCCGATTTGATGAAACTGTTACAGACAATGAAATAGTTGTCGATCTCAGTAACGACTAAAGGAGAATGAACGATTAATTCATCGATAGTTGTTTTTTTTAATGCAATAATTATTATAAGCATGCATTTTGAGTGTTTCCCGGCAGTCTTTATTTTTCGTTTGGTTTCTTTTATTTTAGTTCCTTTTTTTTCCCGAGTGAGTTAATTGACGGTATATGTCTGCTGGCACAATGAAATAAAATCAATAAAATTGATAAAATAAGGGGCGTTGGTTGCTGTATGGAAAAAAATCTGTACATGATATTCTGTGGGAATCAGATTTGAAATTTAATATATTAAAGTATGAGGAGAGGAAAAAATTTAATGATAAATAGCGTTGATCGATAAATGATTAAATTGAATGACATAAAAGGAATAATAATGTAAACCTAGTATACACACTCACGAAACGCATATAAATTTAATGTATGTATGTATGTACATATATATTATATTCATACATATGAATACATTTTCCACGAGTATTTTGCACATTTGATATGAAGAAAAATTGTAACAAAAATGAGGTATGAAGTGAAGATTAGGAAATACAAACCTTCTCTGTCCTTTCTCATCATTGAGAGTTTGACTCGCAGGTTTATGTTGACGGAATAATCAATATGCATATGTTATATGTAAGAGATTGATACATATAAGATGCAATTGTCGAAAAAAAATGATTGAAAAACTGGCGAACTCACTCTGTACTTTTGGTTTTTTATTTTTGCAATCGAATGACTTGATTTTATCAAAGTATCCTGCTGAGGTATTCTCTCAAATTACCCACACTTGGAGGAAAAAATATGAATTAATTGTAATTTAATGTATCCTAAAGGAGTACACAGGTATTGAAGATAAAATAGTGCCTGGAACCATTTGTGGCCCTCGTTTTTCGTAAGCAAAAGCAGAAAATTATGAAGTGATCAACATATGTACAAATTGCATTATTGTTAGATGTCTGATGTTGATCCCTTCATTTTTCGAATTTTTAACGAATGTTTTGGATATCCCGGGATGATGTGGATGGAAACGGAAATTATGAAGAAAAATTAACGAAAAAAAAAACAAGATTAAATAGTCAGATTGTAATATTGACTTGATAAGATGATCACAAAGTGCAATCTTTTAGGCAAAAAAAAAAAACACTTTTTATCGATCTAAAAAGTATAAAAAGAAATTGTTATTTTTCATAAGGAAGAAATGAAGTTTGATATATTGAAAAGAATATATGTCTCTCCTAGTTGTTTAAAATGAGTAAAACATTTTCCTATAAATAAAGCCGAGAGAAAATTAATAGTAAATGCTGATGAAGAATTTGAATGAGGTTTTATTGAATTCAATTGATATTTTTCCAATGTGACCGAATCACAAATTGTACAATGTTCAATGGTACAACTCGGCTCTTTGTTGTACAGTAATATGAGAATTATCGTTATGTCCATAGAATAAATAAAAATTCATTTTGATGAACTATGTTATGAAATTATTTATTTGGCATGTTCTTTGAATATTACTTGAGGGGATTCTTGAAATGACCAGTTGATTTTGACATTATGTTGAGCTGTTTGATATATTGAAATGGATTTAACGATATTCCTCAAGAAATTTTATTAAAAATAAACATTGTCGAATGCTGTGACTTTTATGGACCATCTTTAACAGCTTTATATAACTATTCAGGTAAAATTAAAACCATTCACTAGAGAACTACAAAAATAAACAATACCATAAACTCCGCATGAAACACAAGAACAGGCCCCAAAAAACTCCCGTTGGCTGCACTAGAAGCAAAACTAAAAACAAATAATTTAACAACCAGCAAATTATTGTAATGCACAGCACGATGAAACTGATACATTCGTTGTAAACAAACGTAGTACTATTAAGATATTAAGCAAAAAAAAATAACAGCATAAATACAATGAAGATGAATATTTTTAAAAAAGTATGATGTACGTACTAGCCACAACTGTTGTCACCGCAGATTAAACCGATAAGTTATTAAGTTTAAATACAGGTTTACAAATTGGACATATCTAAGACGCCAAGTAGCATCGATACGTCTCACATATACTTACCAGTGGATGGAAAATTATTATAACAAAAAAAAATCTGTAAATCTATTTTAGTTTCAGAGGAAGAAGTACTGCTTAAATATCCAATTAACCATTATGACAGTGTAAATTTTTTTTATTATAGGGAGCCACTTTTTCTTGTAATTTGAGGCTCAACATTTTTCCTTCAGAAGCTCTGGACGCGTTGTTTCAAAAGGTACTTCAGAGGCAGACGAAAATTTTATTGTCAGCATTGTATTGAAGGTATTAACGGATCGTAACAACTCAATCATTTATTCGTGTAAAAAACAAAGATTGGAAATGACCGTTGGATAGTTTACGAATATTACGTGAATGCATTATAGAGATGAAAACGTTCGGCCTGTTTTGTCATTGCTTCGAGCAATATGTTTCCTCCTAATCATTCATTTTTCATTCTTGTTCTCGTGTAACTACTACCTGTCATATGGCATGAATAATTGAACAAAAAACCTTAGTTTTACGTAATTATGGTGACGCTATCAATGAAAAAAAGGGAAATTGATGAAATCTATGAAAAATCGTTGCTGCTATTTTTACGAGCAGTCTACATAGCCATGAATGATGTTTTTTATTTAAAAGAAGCAACAATACGGAAAGTAATTCTTATAGTGCCATTGTAACAGACTAATTTAACTGAATATCACCTATTGTTTAAGTAGAATGTTAAGGATGAAAATGGTGAAATTGTAATTGACACAATTGTAACAATTGCGGTGTTGATAAAAAAATACAAAGACTCGGTTTTATGTTTGTAATAATTGTTATAATGTTTGCCAAACATTATATAAAATATATATATGAAATAATGATTAATTATAAAAATAAGTGTGACACGATAAAAAGAACAAATGTTGGGAAGAATTTTCTGCGATACTAGTTTGTCAATGAAAGATATCATCCAATTATGCACATCCGATGCCACGCAACACAATCGAATAATAAAATATATATATACAAATATATATATGTGTATTCTGGGAGGAAAGGCGCCAGAAACTGAGGGGGAAAAGTGATTTATAGTTAATGATGCGAAGGCGATATTGTTTTCAATTCGATATATATCATTTTGGTGCTCGAACTATTTCTCCTCCCCCCGTTTCCCACTCTCCACCATAATTTCTGTTGAGTTGATTTGTTTTTGAATTTTGCCGACTCATATGATTGTTCATCATATAATTGCCTATAATTCGGTTAGTGAAAAAAATGAGGAAATATGGATAATTAATGAGACTTAGCAATTAATTATTGTTATCTGGTAGATACTCTATGTACATGACACACACGTAATCGACGATTATAGTCGCACCCCCTCTCCACCCCCTCATCATAAAAATGAAAAGAGAAATGGAGTTTAAAAAATGAAGAGAACATGTAAAACGCAGATCCGCAATGTGGTTATATTTCTGTGTACCAGCGTAATTGCTAATTATTATTATTATTATTATATGATGTTGCCCATAGAATACATTGTACTCGGTTTTTATATTTTGCTGTATTTTATTCCATAATTGATTGTGGAAATGCTAAGAATATCCATTTGAATCCTAACTTTACTTTTGCATGAAAATTTCCCAAATTTAGCTTCCGCTTGATTGTTGATTTATGGAGTAAATTATTTCCCATTGAATCCAAGAGTCAAACTGTTGTATGAAAATACCCTGATCCTCGGTAGAAATGCCTTAACATCACGTGCCTCAATTTTTAATATTCAAATTATTCACAACTATGCGTAAAGACACACCTCTGTTTATCTGTAATATTCTATCTAGTGTTAACGTATGAAAAACAAAAATGATGAAATTCTAATGATGTGAGGAAAAGATGAAAATATTCTGTGTGTGAAATTGAAACTTATTCTTTGTACTACTCTTGTAAATACATTCTAAAAAATTAATCGTCAATGTTTTGTGCTGACTACTGCTGCTTCAATGTCTCTTTCAGTAGCTCATTCCAGAGAAGATAGGTAAGAGAGAAATTCTCGTATTTTGTTTCTGTTCTTTTTTTTATTCATTTCATTACACACAATATTAATTTTTCAAAACTTACAAATAAATTCATGCCCTCACAATGTCCAAAAATAAATGGGGCATAAAATTACAGACATATATAATTTCATCACTGTAAAATATAAAGAACACTTTTATCTCTTCGAAACATAGAAAACAAAATGGAGCAATATTTGTTTAGCTGGTAAAGCTCTAATGAAAAATTTACTAGTCCGAGATTTTTCTACGTACTACTGTGTCATTTTATCTTGTTCCAGAATAGACGTTGCTATATATCTTTATATAAATATAATTTCAATCCCTTTATCAGCGACTTCTCTCGTTACAAAACTACATGAAAAACTGCTTCCATCTTCTCAACAGAAATTTAACTCCTAAACCACTTAGTTATTGATTTTTATTTCATTATTAATAATCATCTATAGAAGTGTTATAAGCATTTATTTCACATACAAAAAGAAAATATTATTTTCGTCCGTATTAGTTTTCGTCTTTCGTCGGTACTATTATCGTGAATCAGGTAAATGCAGATACATTACAATTTTATTATTGTGACCGTCTTTCCACCATCGTTGTACATTTTATTCTCTAAATTAATTTTGATTGTGCAATATTGAAGAGTGCTAATAGATGGAAATTATACGAAGTCATGTGAATCAGAATGTATCCTGATTACTTTTCTTCAACAAAAAAATTATCTGGAAGCGATTTTTAAGGAGAATGAAAACAAAAATTTATTCAGTCATTCACATTGAATATTGTGAAAAACTTGAAATGCTCTTTGTGAAAAAACTTGTTTCATAACGATTAGTTATTTATTATTCTTCATTTTTAATTCTCTTCTCATCCTTTAGATTAATGGAAATAGTTTTCTGTCTTCAATAATTAATGGCGATAGATTATTCTGCCCCTCTGAACAAATTCTCGCATCGTAAAATGCCCCCAATAATCTTAATAAGCTTAATTAAAACTCTTTTCATTTTTGAATTTTATAAATCTTGGACTTAACAAATCTTACTGCTTACATAAGGCGACAGCGTTCCTCACCCTGGGGGTCCCCCTAAAACACAATTCATTTCATCAAATATTTTCCCACTATTTGTTCATTTTTATTCTATCTTTAATTCCATCTAGCCCAGCATGCTTGAGTTAATCATTTTTCCACAACAATGTATATGAAAAACATTAAATTGACAGTTTTCCCTATTATTAGTCACAATGATGCAAGCAGTTCGTCGATAGCGAGAATTGTTTTTTTTCTTTCAATTATCATCCTCCATATTTTTTTTCCAATCTTTCCAAATCCATCTATTCTCATTTGTCTCGCTATATCTCTGATAATTAATTACTTTATCATCCAATTTTAGTGATTTTTTTAGTGAAGCAGTGATGAATAGAAAATGTGCTCAAAAATAAGCTGAAATGAATTATTACACTTTGATGAATGAAGAATCAAATGTACTTGTGAATTTGATGAACACCTAGAGACATTTTTTACTAATATAACTTACATGGGCTGTCCATCAGAGTCGCAGGCCCTCTGATTATTGGAAGAAGAGAAATCTTCTCTATGACAGAAGAATTGAACATGTTTGAAATCCCCCCCAACTGATTGAGTCAAATTATTAATTTCTACAATCGCTCTATGACTTATAAACTGCTTGTATCTGAACGCAATGTTTAACTAACATTCGCCATCAAATTTTCCGTCTCCCAACGGAATTTTTCGAAAGATGCACTGCCATTGGTTTAAATCCCCTTGTTAGTTAAACATGCCATAATGAAGACATGAAAATTTCACGAATTTCTCCAAAACGTTTACTATGTAAAAAAAATTAGTGAAATTTATCTTTAATTACCTGTTGATGGTGAAGATCCTCAGATCCCCGAAACCCCAAGTTTTCTCTGTGCCGAGACATTGAAGTTGTCAGTTGCTGCCTCTTTCGTTCGGATGTTGCCATTTCCTGTGAAATAACAAAACAATTTTCAATCAAGAAATTCCACGAGACAAACGCTTCAACATTATTTTCCAAAAGTCACCTCTCCATCAGTATTCAAGAGAGTAGTCGTCATATTATCAGCAATGAACCATTTCTGTCCCTTCATAACGATATTCGATGGTGGTTCATGAGTCGCTCCAACATCCGATGACCAAACCAAAACATTTGCCCCTGGTTCGATCTTGGCAGTTCTGTGGAATTTGAAGACTGTCTCCAGAGCTCCAGCTTTGCGAATGAGTTGCCAACCACTGAGAACAATTTCCTTGCCACCCTTATTGATAAGTTTGACGAATCTCCCTTGTGGATCAGCTTCATTGATTTCGACATCTCCTCTTGCAGATGCAACGACACTGTAATCACTGCTGCTGCGTTCCTCGCTCTCTTCAAGAAGTGTGCGCTTACGTTTCCCTCCCCTGATAGGGGTGTGTCTGGAAGGAGTGCTCCTGCCAGTGGAAACTGAAGTAGCTGGTGACTGAACAGGAGTGATATTGAGCCTGGCTTCCTCAGATTCCAACAGTTTTCTATAAGCAGCAATTTCAAGATCCAGAGCCACCTTGATATCCATCAGGTCCTGGTACTCCTGTAGCTGCTGTGCCATTTCCTCCCTCATCCTGCTGAGCTCAGCCTCCAGCGAGGCAAGACCCTCTGCATGCCTGGCACGCTCGCCCTCCCTGAGATTCTCCAGTTCCCTGATACGCGCATTGAGAGCGTTATTAGCGGACTCGAGCTCGGAGATGCGTTGATTAAGTCCATCAATGCGAGTCCTAGTTTGTCTGAGCTCCTCAACAGCTAAACTTGCAGCTCCACTATTACGTTGAGCATGAGACGTCAAATTCTTGATCTTGTTCTCATAGAGCAACTCAATTTCCTCTCGATTCATTCGCATTTGTCCTTCGTACTGATCACGAAGCTCCTGGAGTGACTGCTGTAGCTTAGCCTCGTACTGCTCAGCAAGACGTCCATCGATTTCAGATATTTCAACTTGACGCCGCGAACGAGTTTCGGTCAACTCTTGCTGGAAGACTTGATCCTTGAAGCTGATGTCCTCTCTGAGACTCTGGATATTGTTCTCCAGATCAATACGCTGGAGGGTTTCCTCCTCCAGGTGCTTTCTAGCATCATCCAACAACCCCTTCAACCTCTCCACTTCTTTCTCCAATTCGCGCTCACGCTCCTGGAGCTTTTTACGTTCAGCTTGGGATTGATTGTACTGGGATTGGAGATCATTGCATCGAGTCTCATAAATTGACGCATTACGCTCGGCGATTTGAAAATCTTTCGATTTCTTCTCCAATCTAAAAATAAAGGAAAATCGATGATTTAATTTGAAGATCCGATACGGAAATATTGTAGGGGAATGCTGAGAATGTGATATTGTTTTTACGTACGACTTGACATTCCGGAATTTCTCCCATCTTATACAAATGATGTAACGGATAAAAATGACGGGGTATACACATTCTTGGAGTGATCTCTAGAGATATGGGAGTGACCTTGTTAATACCGTCAACAATAATTCACCTGTCTTAGTGTGACTCTCACTATCCTTGGCCCACTAGTTGACCGTGCCATTAACAGAAAATAAAAAGAGAACAATTTTTTTTCTACAATCGATTCGCCGTTTTTTTCCGCTCATTAATGCGCGAGTATACGGTCCCCGCAGGTAACTAAAAATTTGGGTTGGAAAATTACGCGAAGCAGCCGAATATCTGGTGCTTTACTCGCGTGTACAAAAACGCTATATAAATTTGAATGAACGAGGAGAAAGAATGGTGGCTCGTGGTGGCTATTTCCGTCGATTCGCCCCACATCGAGCGGTTATTCCTACCTAGTCCCTCAGTCGTCTTGACTACTGGATCAAGGACAAAAAATGCTTGAATCGATCGCTCAGAAATAATCATCAATTTTGTTGAAAATTTATCTGTAAGAAGCACTGGATGATTAAAGCCTCATGGGATGGGGCATAAAACAGAAGCGATAATGTGGGTAGCTTTGCAGGAGGTGCAATGTATCATTTGCCATGTGCGTGACAGCGACGTGTTGGGGCCAATGTCATGTTGCAAGTTCACCATCTTGTTCAGGTTTTTTATTCCCCCCTCGAAAGGAGTAGATTTTCTCCATTTTCTTTGGAGTAAAATAATTCCATGTCACCATTATTGTAAATAAAAATTCAACAGTCATCCAGTCAACTCCGATAATTTCTTGACTAAAATTAGAAGAGACTTGAAAACCAGAATAATGATGACGGCATTGTCAATCCGTTACCATCACTCTGAACGTTAAAAATCTCTATTCAACCAGTCGTGAGATGCGCGTACTAAATATTTGATTTTGTCGTAATACAAGTGAATCCTTGACGACTGAAGGTGAAAGAAATTCATTTTACATCTGATCGCTGCCATTTCAGGCGAAGCACTTCATGTTTTATGAATAACAAGTATTGAGACAAGTATTGGCTAACTCCAAAAGCGAAAAGCCCGAAGAACATTCAAAATCCATTGCGATCACATTCTTAGCGTTATATCGATTGCTTAATTGCTATCGTTATCTCAACTGCACTCGCACAACAGTGTTGAAGAATGACTCAAACGTAAGGTAATGAGTACGTAAGCGGAATTTAATGACTCGATAAAAATTTTTCTCGAAAAAATTTGATAAAATAGTCGATCGAGATTTTTGGTCGAAATGAAAAACAGGACAGAATCGGCTGATAATTATCAGATATAAAAAGCGGGTAATTTATTGTCGAGTAAACGGAGCAGAGGCAAATGTCTTTGCATCAGGTAATAGAACCGGCACCAGGGACTGACATCATCACCACATAGTACGCGTGACGCAACCGATGGTGTAGTACGGCGTGTATGAATTTCGATGCCGTGCCCTTCACAGACACACCATTTGGTCTACACCCACAGCCCCCGCATGAAACTAAACAGAGGGTGAGGTAAAGGCTGAGTCAAGATAAGCCAGTTACTCACAATAATCAAAGCATCATTCCAGATGCCATGTTGCCTACTTAAACAACCGCTAGGACGACCCTTCAAGGAGAAAACCGGCCGGTACTATCATCAGGAAATTTCGAATTACTCATGGAAATTCGACAACCATTTGGAATTTAAACGGACGGGAGTTCTGAATATTATGAGTCATTCGTGTCTGAATACTAAATACAGATCTGGATAATTCGAATGTAAACATTGCAGAAAATTTATGCAGAATTTACATTTCCAAAGGAAAAGACGGCAAATAATGAAAAAAGGTTTTGGAGGGGGTAAAAATATAAAAGAAAACATTCTCGTGAATTCTGATGAAATGAATTGCTTCGGACACATTTTTAGATTTGACAAAAAAAACCGATAAATCACGTTTCAACACCTGCTCAATACTGAGTGTGATATAATACGAAAAACGAATAGGGGAAGTGTTGGGTCTACAAGTTGAACATAGAAATACCGATTTTCAACTTTTCAAGCCAGTTCCAGAGAAATATATGAATTCCCCAATGGAGGTTACCCAACGATGATATACAATAAGATAATTACTTGGTCTTAAGGTCTTCATTGTCATCCCAAAGTCGTTTGGTATCGATTTCGAGTTTAGCTCTCTCCTTGGCAGTTTCATCGAGTAATTTTCTAGCATCAGAGAGCTCATGCTCGTACATAGACTTGATATTGGACACCTCTCTCGTAACCACCTCCTGGGACGTCTGTACCTCTCTCGTGAGTCTCGAATTTTCTGTCTCCAGGTGACGTACTTTTTCAATGTAACAGGCAAGACGATCATTGAGATTCTGTAAATCCTGTTTCTCCTGTAGACGTGAATAACGTGTAGGGCTGAGTGGACTTCCTGGACGCCGGCCTATAGGCGTCGAAGTACTTGGCTGAGGCGACTGGACCGAGCTAACGCTCGACGACGCCGCTACAGTTTTTTTACTCGATTTCGTCGACATTTCAATTATTTTAACACAAAATAAACAGTTAACACGCAGACGAATGTCCCACTGAATTCAATCAATTTATTAACCGTAAATTCACGCTAACTCGGCGTCGGTCCCGGCAGATATGTATATTTTGTGATGCTTTTTCACTCACTGCCTTCTTATGTGAGACTCAACGCTCAGTGTAATGTATGTGCATGTGTATGTCGCTTGTACCCGCGTTTCAATCTTGTCCCACACGGTACGACGATTTTTCCACTACTGCAGTCAATCGAGAGAACAAATCCACCGACGAGACGCTGTCCAACAACTAGCGCCAACTGTCGATTATTTAATTGGCCCACACCACCCAGAACCTCCCGCCATTTCCAATCCGCTTCCTCCATTCTCAATACACGACTCTCAACGATCTCAGTTGTATCGAATGAAACAGTTGAACACGACCGTTAGACGTTTGAATTTCACTCGCGATATGATTGTTTATTGTAAATTCTGTGCAACGAGTGGTTTTCGGTGGTGAGAAGTACGAATTTCAGTCCATTTTTGAAGACAACTTTTTGTGTCATCTCTGTATGTGTTATAGTGGTAGTGAAGTGCAAATCCTTTGTTCGGTATCATCGGATTTATTTATAATTAAAAGTGAATTAAAGGTTTATTGAAGATAATTTAAAGTGATAGTGTGTAATTGTGTGCATATTGGGTTTTTACGGGTTTTTAGAACGTTTTTAGTCCCATTGTGATGTGATTATAAGTGAATAAGTGATGAGTGAAATGGTGATTCTTGGAACCGGGTAAGATATCCCGCGTTCAGTGTTTGTTTGGGTTTTGAAGGACGACCTCGGGTATCCTGTGGAGGAGAGTTTAAGCTGTTTGCCGGAATAATCGAGGTACTGGAATAATTCAAATTTTTAGCAGGCGGTACGAGATCATTTTCAGGGATATTACCGGAGGACAAGTCCTTTGACAATAAGAACAATAATAGGATCTATTAACAATCCGACACGATAATTTGCCAACGTGATCTGGCGAGCTTGATTCTTAATATTTCTGCCCTTCGAATTTGAAAACGCGTATTCAACAGCAAAACATTAAAAAAAATCTTTAACATCGGATATCTCTCTATCGAAGAATGAAGAACAAAATAAAGTCTTCTCGTCATGATTTTTATTTTATTTCTTCAACTGCTAATTTATGATATATCCGGTGTTCAAATATCAAGAAAATTCTCAATTATTCAATGGCTCTGCAGCTCCTGAGTTATAGGGAAAGCGCAACAGTTTGAAAAACATGAACTTCAACCCACCTCAGGGTCATGTGAAGGACGAGTTTAGAAAAATAAAAATTATTGAGTCAGTGATAAATTGAGAGACAAATTTTCGAACATCACAATATGATTTATTTTAACAATCAGCAATAACAAAGGTAGACATGTTTTCATGATTCATTTAAACGAAATAATTCTCGAAAAATCTAAACTTGAATTCGAATAGCGTTATTATGCTTGGTAAAAATATACCTATAAATAAATTCACTATACCTCCATCAATTTCTCGTCATTGAAGTTTGATGGATTCAAGTAGACCAGAACAAAAATGAAAATAACAATGCCATCTCCCCATTCGCTCGTTATTACTCAGTAATCAATAATGACTCTTAAGGTTTTTCATTAAAGAATAGTTTGTCAGCTATAATATTGAACATAGACGATTCGTGTATAATATAGAATTCTTCTTCGATATATATATATATACATACATGTGTATATATAATTCCATTTGTTTCTATCTGCGAGTGTTTTACATAAATGTCCATGTGTCGAATGACGAGTGAATTACGGTTATCCATCGATACCAAGTTATGTGTAAATTCTTATTGAATTCCTCGGATTCTTTTTGGTCTTGTAGCAGTGATGCTTCAGTCGTCTTTGGTTGGTGTGCGTATAAATCGCCTCGTATCAATTATACTTATTTCTCTGTCATCTGATTGTTGCGCCGATAATTCACATCTCAATTCTGTTCCCTGAGTTGGTATACAACCTTTTCAGTCTTTACCATAGTATACAATTTTTTTCTCTAAATAAATTGCCGTTTCCCAACAAACGTCACCCGTCAGGTTAAACAGTCAATGAATTTTTAAACTTTTTTCTCACTTTTTCAAGGCATATTCATCAGTATTACTCTACGAGACATTTTCTCTATAATTTTTGAAAAAATTAAACCGTTGAATCATTATCTTCTCGATAACTTTATACCCTTTGTCCACTACCGATGGACAATAATGCCTTCCATAGAAATGCCAAAATTATACGATTGTGTTTGGAGAAAAAAAAATTCTATTGGCTATTCGTTGAGTCTTCCATCAGTTAATTACTGAAAAAAATGTTCCATTCTGTTATCATTTCACTAAGTTAACAATAATTCCATAACTTCTTCTATAAATTCAGAGGAATTTGAATAAAGAAATCATCACTATCTTTTCATCCTCGCCTCTAAAATAAATCTCTTCACAGAAAGTATGATAGTTATCACCAATTTTCGACACAAGCAGGGCCGTCCAACCATTGAAAAATGATCTATGTACATACAACTAGAAGTATAATTAGGAATGATTGATACTGCCAAGACACTTTGAGAAGAATCGAAAAAATTCATTTTAAAAAATCTATCAAGAAAAAAGATGAAGCTATCCTAGTCATTGGCAGCAGCACCGTGTCTCCTGGGTCGTTTTCCAGTCTTCTGTTTGCTATGAAAATTGCCCTCAATCTTCGACCTAGCTCGAAGAGACTCGGCTGAGCTGTCAGACCCACTGGTCTCCTGCAATTTTCGTTTCTTACCCCTGGTGACAGGTCCACTTCCACTGCTACTGCTGTTGCTACTGTTGTGTTTGTCGCCATCTTTTTTTCTCCGTTTGGATTTGGGTAATTCAAGAGGCTCTCTCACTCTCTCTCTCTCCTGGAGAATACTTTTAGGCGAATTCGATTCAGAAGAGGAAGACAACGAGCTCAAATACTCAGTGACCCTCTCCTCCCCAAAATCAAAGACATTGGGCTGCGCTGGAGACGCTGAGGTTGTCATCGAAGTTGTGACACTTGGTGGTCTCAACAATTGTACAGAGGATGGACTGGATGATGTGGTGGAAGCCGAAGATGAGACGGAGGATGAAGTTGATCTTTTATGAAGTTTCCTCCTCTGAGCCAATTTAGCTCCATCGACATTTTTAAGTTTGAAAGAGCTTGGTTTAACACTGATTCCTGAGGTGGATTGAATATGCAGAGGCTCCACAGGTGTCCCTGAACTACCAGTAAGCCACGAGTGACGAACAAGAGCTGAAGCTGTGAGCCTCTCACTAGGATCAGTTGCTAACAGGGATTTCACTATTTCTTTACCAGCAGGACTGACGTGTCTCCACTTTTCCCCATCAAAGTCAATCTCTCCGGATTTAATTCTACTGGCAAGGTCTGGGCTTCCAACCTTGAACAGAGGCTCACCCGATAGTAAACAGTAGAGTATGGCCCCCAAACTCCACAAATCGCAACTCTCGTCGTATCCTTGGTGAGCCAGGATCTCTGGTGCTGCATAGGGAAGAGTAAAACACGGCGTGTGAAGTGGCTCGCACGATTTTTTCAATCTGGCAAAACCAAAGTCCACCACTTTTACTGGTGCATCACCACCGGAGTGAGCATAGAGTAAATTTTCGGGCTTCAAGTCTCGATGAACAACTCCACGCACATGCATGAATTGAACAACTGATGCGAGTTGTTTCATAACTCTGATGGCCTCTTTTTCACTCTGGGATTTTGCCACTTTACGGTTTGATGGGAGCAGTTCACCGCCCGAGAGTAACTCCATGACAATGTATGTGTGAGCTCGGTCTTGGTAGACGTCGATTAATTTAACTACATTTGGATGACCCTGGCAGGCTCTCAGGAGGTTTGCCTCTCGACCGCAGTCCACTCGTCTACTGACAATTTTCACTGCGTACTCTCGTTTCGTTTGCCGATGGGTGCAGAGTCGACAGACGGAGAAGCTACCGTCTCCAAGTGCTTCTCTCCTCGGGTCAATCTCGTAGTGCTGGAAGAATGTGGATTCCTCGAAGCGGGAAGCTAAGGCTGACGAAGGAGATGGCGAGTGGCCATCCGTGTTGGACTCTCGGAAGATATCTTCGGATACTACGTTGTCACCGAATAGGATTGATGGGGCGACATAAGAGTATCCCTGAAAAAAAATTAACGAATAATTACTTTTTTATTCGTTCTGGAATTTTTTTTTGTGTCAATAATAGAAATAATATGGAGACTCACTCGAAATGCTCTGTCATAATTGGGTGGTACGACAGCAGGACTGTCAGCAGCCACCATTTTGGTGAATTCATCCGCGAAATTGCTGGTATCTAGTTCATGAGCAATTTGAGGCACAAAGGGTGGTTCAATTTCTCGGTTCTCCAATGCACTCCAACTAAATCCCTCGGCTTCTGTGAAAAATGGGTGTTCCTTGAGCTCCTCGGCATCCCGAGGCCCACCGCCCAATCTTTGTCTTGGATCTTTAACCAACAGCCTGGCAAGGAAGTCCTGAACTTCTGGACTCAAATAGCTTGGAATTGGTGGCTCTGTCTTAAGAATTCTACGTGATATTTCTTGTTGAGTATTTGTGTGGCCTTCTACGGCAAATGGAGAGGACCCACTGAGAAGTTCATAAGCTAAAACTCCTACGCTCCACCAGTCGACAGCCTAAAGTATTGAGAATAATTTCTATGAGAATTGGAGAGTGAAAAAATTGGACAAAGCTCATTATTTCATGTCACTCCATTCTTATTTCTCAACCCAATTTCTGACTCCCTGTTAAAAAAGAAACTCACGGATCTGTTTCTATCAGAAAACCTATTTTTAAAAGCGTATGTCCAATGGTCGGAATTTATTTTGTTATTTTTACTTTTCTGACCCACTTCATTGCTGAAAAAAAAAATCACAACTTTCGTTCTTCGCGTATCCAGTAAATTCTTCAACAATCGTTTTCACTCCATCAAAACTGCTCAATCCGCATATTTTCGTTTCGAATGCTTTACATTGTTTTGAACATTTCCCCTCCGAAAGAATGAAACAAACAAACGACATTCATTGCAACATAAATGCATGCCGACCACACGATTGAAAAAAAAAAGCAAGAAAAAATATTGTCAACGAGATAATGAAAAAGTACTTACAATATCGTGACCAGCAGAACCACCTCGCACAACTTCCGGTGCCATGTACTCAATGGTCCCACAAAACGAGTATGCACGTGGATTGTTGTCCCTCTCGTGTGGCAGAAATTCTTTACTAAGACCAAAGTCCGTGAGTACAATGTGCCCCTCACGATCCAAAAGTATATTTTCAAGTTTTATATCTCGATATATAATCCCCAGCTGTGAATGACAAAGTTATTTCAATATTTCTCCAAGAAAAAGATGATAATGGGCTACACTCATTGGAATGACATAAATAAAATAGGGATATTTATGCACACCTTATGTAAATGCTCCAGTGCAATTATAATTTCTCCGACGTATATCCGTACTTCGTCCTCGGTGAAGTGCTCTCGCTGATAAAGATGGGTGAATAATTCGCCACCATTCACGTAATCTAGATTCAAAAATACATAGTTCCAATATAAAGTTATGGGGAAAATCGATCTATTCCACTCTCACCGAAATAAATCTTTTGTTCAAAGGTGAAAAGAGTGATAATTCCAATCGTAAAATAGAACTGGTCGTTTAAATTTCATGTCAATTAAAAGGATTTGTCATCGTACCTAAAATCAGGTGGAGTTTAGCATCAGTTTGGAAGGCATAGTGAAGTGTCACCAAGAATGGACTGTCCCTCACAGCCTCAAGCACTTGTCTCTCGGTTTTAGTGTGCTCTGTTGTCTTCTTCTTCTGAACAATCATCGCTTTTTTTAATACTTTCATCGCATAAAGACGTCCAACGTCTGCGCCAATTCTCTTTCTCACCAGGAAAACTTTTCCGTAAGCTAAACGACAAAGAAACAATGAATTCAACGTGAATTAACATTCAAGGATATTACATAGATGATAATGTTATTAATTTTCGAAAAACTCACCTCCTGTTCCAAGGACTTTGAGCAGATCAAAGTGCGTCATGTCTACCCTCTGGCCGCCGTTGTCATTAAGATTAACTGCAACAGAATTTAAAAAAAAACGACAGTGAATTTATAGGGCATAGTGTAGGCTTCAAGTGGTAATTTGTCAGTTTGGAGAATTTAGTTGGTTGGATTTTACGTCGATGCGTTTTATTTATCATACAAAGAGATCGGTGGGCTCTTCCAGATGTTTATTTGCTTGTTGGCATGTGCGCAAGACGTGTCTCCTTGGGATAAGTCCTAAGGTGAAAAGCAAAAACATCTTGCACTTGTTATAGCACATTTGAATAATCAATTGAGACAATTTATGAAAATTTCCGAGAATGATAGCTCATGCAGAAAATGGCAACGAGTGCAATATAGTAAATTCTTCGCATTTATTTTGGCAAAATCTTTCTGAAATATCGTCTCCATTATAGTGAGATTCTTTATTCTTTAGGATGAAATTATCGCTTCAGGAGTTTTCTTTCTTATCATAATTTGATGTTCCATTTAAAGTGATAGCCCACATTGGAGAATCTGAAAGACAACGACAAACTGGGACACGATAAGTGATTTTAAATCAGGTAAAATAAAATAGCTATTAGCGTTGGCAGGTGGCCTCATAAATAGGAAGGATGAATTTTCAGGGAAATGTAAGATTGTGACAACTCGGTAGAGACAACCCCTCTTGAACTTTTCAAGTTAAATCAACCCCGGTACTTGCACAGGTCTGATTGTACGTGGGATATCCGTGTCAAGGTGGTGGAATGGCGCGGCCATGATCACACTTTGTCGTTTACCTACGTTGATACTCAAACACACATAAGTACATTTTACTCAATTCAATGTTAAGACGCAAGAGACTGGACATACACATACAAACTCTGAGCAGGTGTAATAGTAACTTAGCGACCCAGTTTTATGGCTATATACTTTCGTGGCTTCCGTTTCAGTCGCGACGAATCATCGAGTTTAAAACGAGGAAAGAACAATGAAAAGTTTTACCTTCCTAATTGGTCTGAAAGTTTAGCTCACCATGTAAATACCAAACACTCCAAGTACTTAGCGCCTTGAGTACGTGTTTGATTTGTCAATTGCATTGTCTAGATAATTTTTCACAGAGAAAAATCTTTGAGTGAGATTTCATTTCATCTGATTCCCCAGTTTCTTTTTCGGTCCGGAGTGATTCCGGATACTGAAATAGCCATTCAGAATGGGATTTTTTGTGAGTGAAGTTAAAGAGACGATCTTAGCGTGAGGGCGTGAGCTCATTTCGAAATATTTTCTTTCGCAAAGATCATTTGATACCAGACCGAGGAGGATGGTTAGTGCATTAAGCTGGTTAATACATTGGGTTTATGAAACCGGGACTCCTCTGCTCCCTGGTCTTTCCCCTCGCTCTCGTCTGACCCCCACGGAAGTTCCGCTTTTGTACGACCCAGATAACCGGCATTCACTCGCTATTTCGTAACGGGACCGACTTTCTTTCGGTTACCTGACTCAGACACCCAGTGCGCCTTTATATTACTATTTACCCCACCTCTCTCCCCATTTTCCCCTATTTTCCACCCACAACCCCCTCCCAGTTTTCCCTCCCACCAACCGCAACTATCATTGTCATTCATTTGTGCGGCTTCCAGTTGCTATCTTCATAGCATCTACACCAACTCCCAATATAATTGAATTTTTCGTTTCTGTCGGCCTTTGGTATGAATTAGGTTGGAAAGAGAAAGGACCGTTAAATCTAAGTAAAAGTGCTCTTGCGTTATCACTCAAATATCCGTAAATATTACAATTATTATAAAACACTCGATGTCCACCTGAAAAATCCGTGTTTTCAAAATTTTTATGGGAATGCCGAGGGGGTGGGGAATGATTTTCGTAATTAATGCACCCCTCCGGTCAATTCCAACTTCCGACACGATTCAGATGTAAATAGGGATTCGAAAGAGTTGGGGGAAACTTTTTTTGGAATTTTTTCGATGAAAATTGTCAGTTCTGGAACCGGCGGCGAGTTCTTTTCTTTTTTTTTTTTTTTTAATTTTTGTGACAGAGACGGGGAATCCCGTACGGTGCACGGTTGCAACCCGCCGACCGTTTGTTACGGGGAATACCGTAATAAGTAACGTTTTTCATTCGTCTGTGTTGTAGTACACACAGAGAAATGAGTAGCTTTTATACGTCGTGGAAAAAAAAATGCTTGCACATTCGTTTACCCTTCCAAGTCGGCCGATTCAACCGCAGATTTCACCTCGAAAATCTCGGAGAACAGTTTCGAGAGTGGAAACTCATCGGCTGAGGTTTTCATTGAAAGTTCCTGCGTAATCATATTCATTCGTTGTTAAAATAATTACGCATTCAATAATAATCGAATATTCTCCAATCAAAAGCACCACGAAGTGAAAGAAATTCTTCAGATAAAAAATTCTCTCGTCTACAAAGAAAAAAAAAAACGTAACGCACAGGTGGTGAATATATTTCTTATATTTCAACAATTTTATTTCTGAATCAATAATCCGTGTTGGAGGTTTGAAGTTGTTATCAGCTCGAAGGCAGTAACTTGGTATCAGTATTGTTGAAAAAGTGGGAAACAAAATGAAACATTTTTTTTTTCATTCATTGAAGAAATGACAAAAATTGATTAATTTTTTTGCAGTCGTTATTTTTCTATCGTTTTATTGAATAAAAATGTGAGAGGGGGTAGGTGAGGTGTTAGATGAATTTCCAATGATTATTCAGTCTTAAAAATAAAGGCGACATCCGGAGACGAAGTTCAAGGCATTCCACCATCCTCGCCTGCCAACATGAAGGATGTTAACAGCTGCTAAGAAATGACAGTGTCATTGAACAGACCTTTGAGATAACTGACAAGCGATATCGTACATTGTACAGCCATTGTACGACCTCTCGTTCAGAAAAAAAAAAGAAAACATACATGAAAGCTCCAATAATCACTTCAATGTGATTTTAACGACTTACATGTTCATTTGTTTCCAAGTAAATTACTTCTCCGAATTGTTGGCAGCATTATTCGCTCATTAGTAATTTAAAATGTTTCTTTATCATTGGGTTCTTCTTCAGAAAACAATTGCATTTCCTTTTATTTGCAATTCCTTTCGTTTTGCCTCTCACTTTCCCCGGACGATGGCGCAAAAGAGTTTAAAAATAAAACACTCTGAACTCCATATTTTTTTCCGTGATTGTCTTATCGAGGACGAAGAATAATGACGAGTTCCCTAAGAATACTCAGCTGCTTGATTTTGAAAATATTTAATATTTGAGTGAATGTATTCGAGGATTTCTCAGGGACTTTCACTTGTGGGTTTTTCTTGGAGGCCTTAATCTCATTCAATATGATTGGTTTATGTATTTGTTTCATTCTTTTTTCTCTTCAATGGTTTATCGGGTTTCCTTGGAAGTTGTGCTAAAATTGTTAATCGCCGGCTGATTAGTTTTCCTGTCATTGTTTTTCTTTTCTTCGCAGCGTGAAAAAAAATTATTTTTCGAGGTTCGATTTACAAGAACAACGTACCTGAAAAAAAAACCCGTAACCCCAACAAAAAATCAAACAAAAAAAAAACCAAAAAAAAAAATGCAACAAGAAATAGACTGAGATATATATTTAAGGAACGAGTCGAATTGATTCCCATAAATCCGTATTTATTCTAGTTATTATCTTATCAGTAGAAGAAGACGGTGATTTTATTCAAGACGAGGATAATTAAAAATTAGGCAATGATAAATTTCCAGTGTTTAAATACTGTTTACTGGTGGTTAATCGCATTGAAAAAGTTTTTACAAAGTTCAAGGTTGCAGAGCTAGTCAACATTATTTCAAATGCACATTCAATATGATGATGACCAACTTTCCACCTCAATAAATTCATTAATTGAATACGTATCCTTTAAATTGTAAATTTACTGTTTAAAATGCTAGAAGGAGGCTTTCTCGTCGCATTATCATTGAATTTTGACCGGTGATAACTTGAATCGAATTCTCGAATTCCAAAGTTGAAGCCCCTGGGCTTACGATACCGTTACCAATCACCGACGTTCCAAATTCCAAGGTTTTGAAACAACTCTGGTGTTTCTACGCTGGTACCGTTTTTATCCTTAATTTCATTTAACTTGTCTTTCACTTTCCGTCAATTGACAAAAAACCGTCATTATTTTTACCCACTTTTTTTGCTTCACGTGTCAGATAGTAATAAAACGGTAGTCATGAACCTGATGTAGTAATTGACCAATGTCTTTGAAAAAAATCTCAATTTATCGTGTATTGGATTAAAAAAAAACTTCTCAGTATGATTTCCAAGTCTCTATCTACATATTTTGCGCATTAATTTCACTTTCTGATTGTTACGCCGATGTTAGAGGGTCAATGATGAGTGCTAAGCGGGTGCCAGTATGTTGCGTTCCATTTTCAATCGATAAAATCTACGCAGACTGTATTGAAGGCCTTTCCATGCAGTTGAAGATAACTCAGCAGCTCAAAAAATTTGGCATGAAATCAAGCCACATATCATTTTTCTTTTGATAATAAACCCGACGGCGGTGGTTTTTAACAATGAGAATTCATCAATTCTAAAAACTTCCTACTTTTCTATTATGAAATGCCTATTTCCTTGTTAATCGAGCGGTGTCCTTAGAATTCCAAGGCTGAAAACCACTACACGCCGGCGATTATCTTAGAAGCTCTTCATTTTTATATACAAAATTAAAATTACAGGTGAGCGTAAAAATTTTACGATCCCGTAATTCTTCAATAATTGCGTACTCTTTGTTTTTATGTCCCCGGGTAGGTATATTGTATTGATTCTGCGGTTCGAAATTTTTTTACTCGGAAAAATAGGTGTAACCAGAGTATTGTACGTTATTTTAAAAAAATGTTATCCACCGATGAAAATTTCGGGTTCATTTATGATTTCGTTTCTGAACGGTGAATATCCTCTGGTCATTGTGTGAACTTTAAACAGGTAGTTAGAATTATAAAAGAGCTATATGGCTCAGTGTGAAAGGTACCGCCCCGTTAGACTTGTTCCCCTGCTGAGTGTCTCCGATGACGCACAAATCCTCAAGCCGCAGATGTCTTTTCGGGAAGACTCTTCCGTAAATATGTTTCAAACAAAATACCAATGCTTACCCAGAGTTGAATGATTGGGGCACAGGAAAATAGGAGCTACCCGGGTGTCACTGGGTCGACTTCCCCACGTGCTCTTTCTCTATCCGATCGATCGATACAACTCGTCCTACGTTTTCTCAGTCGAACACGTGGGGAAAAAGGGGCATATACAATGCTAATTGTCATTCTCATCAAGTGCACACCGCCTAATCCGCCGAGAGTTCATTACTATCAGATCAGTTGCTCATTTGGGGAATATCCCTTGAAACGAAAATACCTGGGGAATAGATTATCAGTTTCCCTGAACTCGAAATACCATTCTATGCGCGTTGATGATTTTTTAATGGCCTGGAACATTAGTTTTTAATATTTAAAATGAGAGTGAATGCGAGACGTGCACTCTGCACGTTTCGTAATTTTTTTCCCCTGCAATCAGAAACATGAGATCCAAATTTATGGAGCAACAAGAGCTGATACTGTGCTACCATATGTTGCCACGTGTCACCCGAGTCTTCCCCCAGAGTCTCCCAACTTTCCATGGTATTCAAATTTAATTTCGGAATAACTTCAATTAGTTTCCACATCACATGTCTTATTTGTCACCGTGTATTATTTCTCGCTTAATAAATATTTGCTTTTTTGTACAGTGGTATCTCTGACGCCAATTGATGATATTGTATCGTGTGTATGAGAAGAAAATACGTTTATGAAATGCCCCGAATTAATTAGATTGAGTTTCTGAGCGAGAGAGCGAGTATCTTCATTGCTGTTAAAAAAGGCGAAAGAGGTCGAACTCGATGATATTAAACCTCGTCAATGCTTTTAAGGCAAAATCCATAAATATTTTCGTTTTGTAATTTTTTATTCGACAGTTCACTGTTTCATCTTTACCTTCTCTTGCTTATCCACTAATCGATGAAAGGAATTGATCGGAGGAGAAGTGAAGTTTTGTTGGGTGAAAGTGACGGGAACGGATTTCAAGAGTGGGAATATCAAAATGGAAATCGACGTCTGTGTGCACCACGAATAGAGCTTAATCAGAGATAATTAATACCGCGGATATTTAAAAATCCGATTCTATTATTGAGTTGAGGTGAACTTTTACGCTGAATTTGAAAAAAAAAAATGTCACGAGTGAGGCTTTTTTGAAGTTCAAAGAATAGCTCAATAGCTCTGAGCAATCAATAAAAATGAGAACCCCTGACATTCAGGGTGGAGAAATGTGTGATAAATATGAAGGTTGAAAAATAATAATAACTACCTCCGTGACGATTTTGCTCATCCTCGTCGGGCTCGGGGGATGCGGGTGAATTAGTGACGTCAAGCTGACGTATGGCCTTAGAGAGTCCATACGAGCCAGATCCAGCAGTATTCTCCTCAAATACCATCTCCACATCGCTGCCATCCTCAAAGTATCCACTCTCATGCTCTGGATTCTTCATTTTTTCAAAAGAAAAACCAATTCCGATATATCTCAATTGAACCTAGTTGAGCAGAACTTCCTCAATCAGCTGCTAAGAATCCTGCATTCTTTCATCTCTATTCCACTGATAGGCGCATAAATCATGTGCCACTGGTGGATATTATTTTTACTTCAATTCAAATGGACTCTGATTTTCCAGGAGAGTGTGTTTCAATGTGCCTTGATCACACTGTCCCGATCGATGGTACTTCCTCGTTTGTTCGGTTGTAAAAAAATTCCGTGGGATGTTAGAAAAATACGAATGAAGTACGATATATCCGCAGTAGTTTTGTGACACAATAACAGGAGAAAAACAAAGCGTTTACTGGTCACAATATCCGTGTGATGCGCATGATCACTCGGGAATGGCAAGACTAAAACTAGAGTATGTGTTTGGTGGCATTACCCACGTGCCTCGAGAGGAGAACGTGATCAAAGTGTCGACACGTGGATGGTACTTTTGCCTTGAAGCTCGCGGCTGATCGAAGCACGAGATTTATTAGATTTTCTTCAAACCAAAATTCGTTTTTTTTCTTTTCCACTCAATTATTTCACCTCCATCGACGATAATCAGTCTCAGCCACTCATGCCCTGATGCAAGTCAGTATCTGGTGTTATCCTACTGACACAGTTTAACGGGGACAAGGCCTCTTTTTTTCCCCTCTCTCAGAGCTCTCCGAGACCTTAACACGCACGAAAGTCGTTTTGTTCACGAAAATTTAACGTTTCGTAATCCACTGCAATCGACATGGAACTGAGGAATTTCGAAGTATCGATGCAATCTACAACCGTTTTTTTTTTTTCAATTTTCCAGAGAAGGAAAAACAGAGCTGTTATCCACTGGAAATAGCTTTTTATATTTTTCTCAATTCCCCCTCGGTCTACCTGATTTCACGGAAATAAAATGTCTGGCTTTATCTTTTTTATTCCTCGTGGACACACACTTGGAAAGGTTAACGGACTCCTGGCACCCCTCGGGGAATACCCCCACGTTATGGAGCCTTTGGTGTCCGTGCCAGGTGTTGGCACAGGGCTTTTCTTCAAACACCTTGTTGGGTTGAATTCTCAGGCACTTTTTCACCCGCAACTTTCACTGTCTCTCGTGGATAAATATTATAATCTATTTATTGGAGTATCATTTATTTTTCCACCAGTGATTTTCACAGCTGGTTGATATCTTAATGTCGTTGATGAAATTATTAAAATATGCTTGAGGGAATTTTATGGTGGAAAAGGGGGTTGAGTTGTTGGTGGAGAGGAGCACGAAGTTGCACCAACACTCACTGCCGACCGACTGAAGTCAAACTGAATAACGCCCCGACCCCGCGCCTGCCTCGGCACCGTTCTATTCCATTCCACCCATACTGCCCGACACCAGAGGGGAATAACAGCTGATTTGGAAAACATGGGTAACCCCAGGAGGGGGAAAGACATTTTCAGGAGCGAAGTCAGTGGACACGGGGGCCCGCTACCATTGACAAATCCCCTTTTTTCCTCTTACTCGCTATTATTTCATTATTTTAGTTAACCAGTGGAGATCCGTCCTACTCATTCTTGATTACTGTGTCAACGTTTTGATAAAGAATGTGGTCTAGCCCCCCCTATCCCCTCCCATTCCTCAGAGGATCACCTTGTTTTTTTTTTTTTTTTTTGAGTACAAGTCATCTTGAGATGGATAAACATAGGGCTAGAGACTGTTTTTAATAATTCGGATTTAATTCAATTTTTATAATCAATTTTTATCTATAATCGGCTATTAAGGAGCTTTTTTCAATTTCAATGTTGTTACCGAGTTTGAGATAACAGACTCGAAATTTTTCAACATATTTGCACAAATTTTGTATTTACAAAGCTGGCGTTTTTCAATCGGACAAATAATTCGTGATGATTTTAGTTTTGGTTATACGGTTTATTCATTGGTTGGGGGATTAATGGTATTTTTAAGTGTGAGGAGTTATTTTATTTTTCGTTTTATAGAAAATTTTTCAGTCATTAGTTAATGAGAGAAACATTAGCTTGAATTTCTAGAGATGCTCGACATGATATTTTTTCCATCTAAACATAAATTTTCGGATAATCCTGCAAGTCATTATCCCTCGAACACACAAAAGATCCGGCGATTTAAAGTTTTCGGGAGTTGTATGTATGTGTAGTGACGTCAACACGTGATTCACGGTGTATCATTTGCCAAAAGGTGTTTAAAATTGAGTGGACAATCACGAGTACCTCCAAGGGCGAACAATTTCTCAGTTTAACTCATAATTTTCAATTCTACATTTCACTCATCCTTGACTGTATTATTCCTCGAGACACTAGACTTCCTACAACGCAGACATTGCACACATTTTTTTTTCTTCAAAGATTATATTATTTCAATACTCCTCTCATATTTACCACTCGTTTTAACCGATAATTCATGCATATGTCATTGTAAATAACATCGGTTTTTATCTTCATATAGTGCAAGAGTAGTTCTCGGATTTCTCAAATCATACTTCCACTCGACATGAAAAGCATTTGATATCGAAACCACGGTGAAGCATGAAGTTTGATCGATACAAGACGGTATTATGGGTTTTCCAGCGATTAATAAATTCTATGAATAATATGATCCCGTGAAACTCCCCAGAGAGGCATTAAAAACCCACCGAACTTTATTTTCCCCCCGATTCATCGAAAACTTTCCGATAAAATCCGACAAATCCGAAAGAAATTTTCGCAGAACCAATTGCCGATTAGTCAATTCCTCGGAAAGTAGAGATGAATAATTTATCCGCCTCGAGATTCTTGCCAGGAACTGGTTTAACAAAAAAATATTCCGTGACAATAAAATTCGCCAGAATCGTTAAAATCAGGGGATAACGAGAAAATTTGAGTTAATTATTCCTTTTTATTATTGGAGCAATAGCAACAATAATGGGAGTATTTTAAATATCATACGCTCAGCTTTAACTTTGATCCATTCTCTCAGTGACACACCTAACCTAGTTAACCAATAAATAAAAAAGACGATTGAATACTGAAATAAACATGTGCATCCATACCGAATGTCAAGACGTGTGTGACAGTTGTTTCACTGGTACTTATATCAGCCAAATTGTCCTTCTGAGGGAGTGGCGGTGGTGGTGGTTGCATGCTCTTCTCCATCCTCCTCTTCCCGTACCCCTCTCTCACACTTGATGATATAATACCTTCAAAGGGTGTCAAATCCTTTTAATTAACTTCCCTTTGTACTCCACCCTATCTGCTCATTTACGTAACATCGGTAAGACCAGACCCTAAAATCAATCATCCCGATGAACCATCGATAAATATTCAATTAAAATCTTCAACAAGAAAATTAAAATGAATAAAAAAAAAATAGAAAAACAATGCTCTGTCAACTGGAAAAGCTCACAATTCTATTTTTGAATGGCTCCATCTGACAAGCGGTATGTGAGCAGCGCACTGTCCTCATGGCAATGTATCTGATTACAACTCAAAAAGTCACACGAATTATCAATTCCATTGTCACTGGGATATTCTTTTAGTTTTTTTATTTATTCCAATAGTGGATTTTCACTGTTGTCATTATCATATGTCAGTGTGAGAATTATTTAGTTCGGTGAACTTTTATGGTGATCAATTGTTTGATAGTGGATAGTGTTGGATAGTGCGACGCAATTGGTCTCGTGCGTTTGGAAACTGACAACCGGTCGTTGGTCATATCAGGGCCGAGGAGATTCGTGGGATTTTCTGTACACGGGTGTCAGATGCCAAGAAAAATCAACTGAGATGTAGAGATGGCGGCGCCACTGGCTCGAGAGCCGGTGGGTACCGGGTGTTCCGGATGTATTATAAAAGCTTGAAAATGAAAATCATCGCTCCATTCTTTTGTATTATATCCAGCCTTTCTTGAGACTCGATAATTTCAATGAAATTATCTGCACGAACGGCTGCGGTGATAGGTAAACCTCGCAAATCCATGAACAGTCGATTATAGTAGTTATGAATTCCTCAAATAATATGGAATGATATTTACGCACCCGTCGAATACCCAGAGATCGTTTATCTGACAGCGATAGGGAGGGGAGCACGTGTTTTTGTCAAAATTTTAACGATTGTGATATCTCTCTGATGTAAAAATACCGTTCACTAGCAGCTCAAAAATATTCTCGACCACAAGCAGAAGCAAATAAAAATTCGTATGCGATAATTAACGAGAATGATATGCCTTCATTTTCAATTCAGCGGAAAGAGAAGGGAATTGCCACAAACTGTTACGAAACTGCAGGGCTATTTGACGAGAGTATTGTATCTCGGATTGATTCAGTCTCCACTGGCACATCGATTATCTCACTTGTGGATTCATTTCAAGAACATCTCCCTTGAAGAATTCAGTAATTATGCCCTCAGAGCTACTGCCATTCTTCTCGAAATACTGGCATTACGTAATTCTCGGTATCGCATCGTACTGCCTCGTGAATTTTCTGTGGAACCGTAAAAAAAAAAGTGAATGTGAGAATGAGAATGAGAATGACGAGGATATTTTTGATAAAACTGCCGACGAGGATGACCTACCTGCACTACCCAAGGACCTAGAGCATATTTCCTTCGTCTATGACAGACCAAGCGAGGAGGAAATGAAAAAACGGTCTAGGGAATTCTACGCAATTTCCAATGCACGCAGGACCATCAGGTTTTTTAGTCCTGATCCGGTGCCAATCGGTGTTATCCATGACATTATTGGAGCAGCCGGTAAGCATGGAATTTTTTTTCACCTCACGGTATGGTGCCCAAATGATGGAAATAATTGAATTTATTTCGGGTGATTAGGCACTGCACCGAGTGGTGCTCATACCGAGCCATGGACATTCGTTGTCGTTTCTAATGACAAGATGAAAGCGAAAATACGAGAGATCGTTGAGAGGGAGGAGCAGCAGAATTATTTAAAGAGAATGGGAAAAAAATGGACAAGAGACTTGACGCCACTGAAGACTAATTGGGTTAAGGATTATCTTACCGTCGCTCCATACCTGATTTTTGTTTTTAAACAGACTTATGGGATTTTACCTGATGGAAGAAAAAAGAATCACTATTATCATGAAATGAGTGTTGCTATTGCCTGTGGTGTATTACTCACAGCTATCCAGGTATGTGAGGGTGATTCAATGGAAATAGTCAGGCTTTGGGAATATTTGGCAAGTATCGTATAAGCCTATTGTCTTGATTATTCCAAGTATGCCGGACTGGTTACACTGACGTCCACGCCTCTCAACTGTGGACCTGCATTGCGATGCCTTCTCGGTCGACCCCCTCTGGAAAAACTCTGTCTGTTACTTCCGGTTGGATATCCAGCTATTGACGCGACTGTACCAAATCTCCACAGGAAGCCACTCGCTGATATTCTAGTCGAGTTTACCTAAACTACCCCATCAAACACTTTCTCATTCCCAATATTAAAAACTGACAGTTAGTAGAAACTAATCATTTATTAGCAATTTGCGTACAATCATTGAAAATAAGCGATATAAAAAATCGAATTCTGAATGACCAATAATTATCAACTCAAAATACAATGTCGGTCACATGATTAATCCATCAATTAATCTCTAAATTCAGGTGATTAGTTTTAATGTACAATTCCATTATCCAATCTCATTTTTTTTACTTCATTTGCAACTTAACTTAAGTACACTCCATGTATATAAAATATAAAAATACTGAGCTGACCAACAATTGAAAGGAAAAATCATCCGCAGTTAGGGGGACATGCATTTATGGTTATCCAGAATTGCTTCTCGTTATTCTCGGCCTTTTTTTTTCTTAAAACTTTCGTTAAATCATTGTTTCACCTCGTTATCCATTCGTTTGCATTGATTGGTGTGTTAGAGCTAAACAGTTATCGCACGATATTTGTTAAGTGTAAAAGCTTGAATATTATGATACATACAGATGAAGAGACAACCCTCTATCTATGCACAGATGTCAAATTTGGATTCACTTGTCAACAAAAGACATAATATTTTGGCTTGGTAAAATGTCATTTTGGATTATACTTCATCAATGGATTTCTATGTCCATGTGAATTCGTCAGATGCGTCAAGTTCAAATGAAAAATGAAAATTTTTCAAAGAAACTTCTGACATAATTCAAAAGAATTTTCTGTAAATTGCATAAAGGTTCTTTCTTTTATCTAGAAGGTATTGTCGTATCTATCTTACATCCAGCTAGTTCTTTTCAGTTTCACTATATTGTCCATACGTTTTTTTTTTTACACCATTATGTTTAATATTATTAAATTCATTTCACATTATTTCACGACAAATCTTGAAAGACGTTATAACGGTTTCGATTGATTTGCGAATCAGTCTCCATCTCTGGCTACAATAATAAGGTCTATTACTTTGTTTAATATAGAAAAAGATTTTAACTGAGCCTGGGGGTGGGGTATTCATTATAACTTTCATTCAATTTTTACACAATCTCGCTTTACGAACAATTGCCATTCATCTGTTTTTATAGGTTGAATTTAAATTCTCGATTCTACCTAAGGAGCATTGTTTTCTTTTATTTATAAAATTCTTTACAGTATCCAGAATTAATTAGTTACAAGATTAATTATATTTCTGAGATCACCAGCGCCTGAGACGTAATAATCATTAAAATCACGTGTGAAACCGATAACTACTCCGTTACTATTTCGCATTCCATTATTTTTCCGGTGAAGAATACATCATTTTCGAAATAAAATGCATCGAAATAATCAGTGTAGAAGAAGAACAAGAAGAGAGAATATCAAGTTAAAAACTATGGGAGATTGTTGAATTTTTAGTTGAAAAAAAGAAGATTAAGAGAATACTCTCGCTCGGATCATCCGATCCTCCAACAGGTGGTTGCAGGAAATGAGAGTACATACAAGAGGCCCTTTTTATAACGACGAAAACAGCTGCCACGAGGGATTCACTCGAGCGACCACTGTTGAGTATGACCATCAGCACCCATGTTACTTTGTTTATTATTATTATTTTTCTCCATTATTTGCAAGATTCTCTCAGCTTGTGGTTCAATCGCGTCGATGGAACTCGGCAATGCACAGGCGACACGACCAGGAACCCTCGGGTGGAGTTGCCAGAGGTGGGGATAGACAATACATATGATATCCACGATCACAGTCATCACAAAACAGCAACTGATCCTAATTTGATCATCCGGAGAATTAATTTTTATCCAAAAAAAAAATCTGTTTTTCTGTTGCTTCAATAAATTTTAACAAAGAGAATTCCCAGCTCATGAGTTTTCTCATCCGCATCGAGAGAGAGTGATGAGTCTGATTTTCGCATCAATGACAGAAGCATACTTAAAAAAAATAAATAAATAAATAAACAACAAGAAAAAGAAATACTCACGTCATTGTCAGATGTGCCACATATGGAACAACACTTGCACTCGATACACTGCCACCTGTACTTGCGTACAGAAACGATCATATTTGCAGTAAATTGCAAACAAGTTGGATGCCCTATAACAAGAACGACACTGGTGTCAAGGAAGAAAGAAAGCACAGGATGATGGAGCTGGGAGACTTGACGATGGATGCGGCCAGCGGAAAGGTGCCAGGACATTTATCTTGTGCCGAAGAACAGTGAACTCCAAGCTATCGTTTTTTTATCATTCACGCGGACATAACTTTTTAGTCAATTAAAATTTTTGAAAGTCTTTTTTTTTCATATCCAAAACATATGATTTTATCATTTCTTTCTAGATAAAATTCTTATATATTGTTTTGTTATCACAGACTAAAAAATTGAATTTCATTAACCCGCGATCAACTGTGTCTTTCACCTTTCCTCAGCACTAAACGTCCGGAATAATGAAACGCTACCATGTTTTTTTTTCCGCACAAAGTATTTTTATTTGATGATAAAATTGCTTGCAAGTAGTTTTCTTTTTATCCTTTGTCGTATTTCTGTTTTTTTTTTTCCTTCTGACGTTTTTTGAACATACCGTTATTTAGTGTTTGGAGTAATAAGATGATAAAAGTAATCAGCAGGGCGTACCTTGGAAAAGTTCACGTTCTTTCTTGCGCAGCACAATATAAACGTCGCAGATCACATTTTTCTTCCGCTTAGCACACGCAAAAATTCATATCTTTAATTATCTCATGTTCTTTTTCTTTTGTGTCATGTCTCTCACTCACTCATCATACTTAATAACTACTTTTATTTTACTGAGTAGGTGGTACTTAAACGTTACATTTTCACCTTCGTCTCACACTAAGCTTCGTGGATAATGCTTAATAAAAATTGCCTAATAACAAGTCTCTATTGATCTTCTCATTTCTCGTAACAAGGAGGAACTATTTGTTTTGCATGCCTTGTTGTAACTATAACTCTTAATCGAGAAAATGAAACAATCTACTGCTATTTTTCATTTTCTTGGGAAAAATTATTCACTCTAACTATTACTTTTTAAAACTTTTTTATGATTAATTGGTTCGTTTTGTTCTCACAATCATCTCTTGTCAAGTTAATGAGAGTACGACACAATCTGCCAGACAATCTCATCTTTCTATACAAATTCCTTATTTTCGTTTGTTTTGATTTCCATTACATCAATGAGATACATTCTATTGGAGATTTTTTATTTTCTCATGTACCAATTGGTCTCTTACAATATTCCTGGCAATATTCACGTGTATGAGAAAATATGATAGATTGATATTGGAAGCGAGTTTGTGCTCTTGGAGGCGAAATTATTTTAAAATCAATGTTATCGGGTTACAATAATATAAAAATCCGTAGAAAACTAATCTACTTTTGAGATGCTTCTACGTGAAGATAAGGTCTCTATGGGGTGCTTCGTGTGACTGAACAGTGAATAAAGTCAAGGGAATTCAACAGATTAAATAATAATAATGCCCATTCATTATTGAAAGGATGAAGTATGGAAATATATAATTATTTGATGAAATAAAATACACTGTAGTCGAAAAGCTCACAAATCATATCTTCTTCAATGACGTGCTCTAGTGAAACTGTGCAACAGGAATTTTTGATCTCACAATTCTTAAATTTAAAAAAAAAACGTCGACTTTTCAAATTCTAATTTTTTTTTCATTTGTCGATAGAACTTCATTACAAAGTTTTTTCATTATGATCATATCGAACTTTGTACATACTCGTGATTATTTGAGTTCTATAAAAATTTCTATCTTACAACTATTCAATTGTGTTTTAGAATAAATCACAGTTATCTCCGTAGCATTTCGTCCAATCAACGATGCTTCAGAAGATTATTCTTCCACTATTCTTCCTTCTATTTCGATAAAGGAATCACATGAAATTCCTATTACCCAGATGCGACAGAATTGCGCCATTGATAAAGTGATGTTTTGATATTTCTGCTTTGACTAGTGTATGATGAAAAGCCCCAATGTCAGTTTTAAATCTATTTCCAATAAAGCTCATGATTCTTTTCACCTAGAGAACATCAGACACGTTGAATCTATCGGTATTGCACGCCCAGAATTCCTCAATAGTAGCTAAGAAAAATAACTGCTCGATTGAGTGATAAATCCAGCAGATATTTTTCCCTCCTACTCAAGTCCCTCAGCGAATCAACCTCAAATCAAAGGAACAACATAATAAATAAGCACTTCACGACTGAATGAACCACGAAGATTGGTGAGCACAGCCTTATCAAAACCAGAATTTGGAAACAAAAAAAAAATGAATGAAGAAAACGAGACGAAAAGCTCCTGTTGCAAGAACGAAACGAACGATAAAAATGAAAAAATTCAACGAATGAAAGAGACTGATTTCATGTAGCAGTTGAACGAGAAAAAAATTTGAAATGCGTAACGAGATAATCAACTTTAAATTAGTCAACAAAAGAGAAAAAAAAAGGGGATATGGAAGATAATTAATTATGATTTGCCCGTCTCGAATACTTGCGCTTCGTTTTTTCCTCAATCTTACCTGAACGACCGCAATCACTGCATGAGACCAATTCCTCGGAACCACCGGTTTTTTTATTCTCCCTAGCATCACCAAGACAGAAATCACAGTAGGGTGATGGCTGTGGTGTTTTACCGGTCTTCTTATCAATAGTTTGTCCACCAGTTGGGCCGATAGTGTTAGCGAGACTGGTGGTTAATCCAGCAGGAATAGCAACATCTGGCCTCATGGGTCCTGGTGATGTTACCGCTGATGGTGATCCAACGGTCATCAATTGATGATCCTCCTTGGGTGTTGAGACAGTTGGTGATACTGGTGGGACACTCGTCTGAACCGGCGGCAGCTGTTGCTGCTGCGACGGCTGACTTGCTCCACCAACACTTGCATTCACATTCCCAACGGGGGATGGACTCGAAGTACTCGAGCTTGCTGTTGTACTCTGTCGCCCCCGACGTGTACCACCTAATCACAAACCGACCACATACCCATTTGCGCTTTTTTTTCTTTTTTTTTTTTCATTTTTCATTTGCATTTTCTTTTTTCCTCTTTACGCCTTCTCAAAACAATCCAACAATCATGCACACCTGGCTCTCTTTTTATCTCTCATTATTCCACTATAATCTCATATTGAAAAGTTTTTCATTGCGCCCACTCCTTGTCTCGACTTTCCTTCTACACCAAATCAAATACTCCCCAAAAACATTCACTCTACTGTTTATTAGTCAATTATTTTGGTCAATTAAACTGATCCCATTGAGAACTTATTGTGAAAGAGGGAAAAAGTTTAATTTATTTAAGGCACAAGTCGTATCTCTTTTCGATCGGCTTTTAATGGCAGTCACATCTCGATGGGATCAATTTCTTTTTTGTTACAAGCAGGAATAACTTCGTGTGATACCATGAAAATAGTTGCTGACAGATTGACAAATGTGCAAATTTAAAATCAGCATTCCATCACCAATAAAGAATTATCAGTCAGTGTTAAATTGAAATGAAAAATTTCAAGAGAAACCCAGAGATCCATGGCGCAATTCCCCGAATTGAACATTTAAATAATAATAAGATGAATGAAGGCATGGCGATGCAGCAATGGTTACCACTGATTACAACGATGCCCTGTACTTTCGAAGCATTCAGCATTCGGCGTGCAAATCAAACGAATCATTTTCTAAATGTGGCTGTTACGTGGAGAAGCAAAATGAAGCATATATCAATGTAATACATATGTCTTTCATTTTTTTTTATTTTGACTTAGAACATGCTCGCAAACCAGTAATATAAAAAAGTCAAGTTATAGACAACAGAAGATAATGGAACAAAATCGTAAACTCTCATTCGAGTCGGTCTAAACGCCTTTTCGAAAAAAAAAAAACAACAACTCAAATAATTGGGAAATAATTATGCGAGTTTGGGCACTTCGGAAGGCGAATAAATAGTCGAATAGAAAATCAAAGTTATAGGAAGAGTATATATAGTATTACATATTGTTTGCATGCCATTGCAAACTCAAAAACAAAAGTTTCATCGAAATAATAGAAATGAGAAACAAAGTAAGAAAAGAACGCATCATCAGATTGTCTCACAATTTTCGGCTGTTTATACTCAAAGACAAGGTCAAGGTGTATTTGACAAATTCCGATATAAATAAAGGGAATCGAATTGCTAAGTTGAGTAATCTTTAAAAATTATTTTCAACTCAAGTGTGAACGCCGAAGCGTGTAATTACGTATTTTATAATGAGCAACGGAAAATAATCAAGAGTGAACGAAACAAATTGGGAAATGAAAAAACCCATAGAGAATAAACAGTACACGATCACACGACAATAATATGCACATCATTGAAACACCTTCTCCGTCAATTATTTTCACTCTGAACCTCTCGCTCAATGCATCCTTACAAAATTTTGCGAACAATCGTCAAGTACTCGATAATGAATGAGACTCTGGATAGTGAGCTGCATGGATGGACAAGAGGAGAAGAGAGATAGAGAGAGACAGAGATCGAAGAGATAAATAAAGTATCGGAGTTGGAGTGAAGAGAAAGCAGAAAAAAAAAATGTTAAAGAAACAGAAAAAAAAATGAAGGAAGAATAGACGGGAGTCTTGAGATAAATGATCTTCCATTTGTTTGTTTAGCGTATTCTTTTTCTTCATTTGTTATAGAAACGTCTTAAAGGAAACTGCGAAAATTGAGCTTGATTTTGGGTCCAACCTGGCTGGTCCGAAGCAGCGGTGTCTGCAACGCTCCGTGTTTCAACATCGGCAGGACTGGGACTTAGTTCCTTAGCAGGATCACCAGAGGAAGTAGAGTGGGAATGACCGTAATGGTAGACCAGACCGGGTCTGGTTTTATACCGTGCGCTGCATACTGCAAAAGTGCAAATACTGTTTTCCCCCAAACCATCCAATGCAAAAACAAAAATAACAAAAAAATCATAATTCACTTATGTTTTTTTGACTTTATTCTTTTTTTTTCCTATCTTTTTTTTTCTCTCGTTCCTCATTCAGGACAAGTATCATGAGATTAGGGTAACAAACAAGAGAGGATTTAATAAACGATGGGGATTATAAAAAGTTCTTGAAATTATTTTTAAAAAATTGATAGAAATTAAAATAGAGGAGTTTTTGCAGTGCAATGGGACACTTGGAGATGTTAAAATAAAAATAAAGCTCAGTTACTTTCCAAGGGGGCGTTTGCTGCATTACTATTTATATCTTCTTCTTAATTTTCTTATTCTGGGTGAATTCTAACTAAATGAACCCCTGACCACCTAATAGGTATTAAAAAATATTAAATAAATGAATTATGTACTCTAATATGTGGACAAGCAGTGTAGGAAAATTCCAGCCCAAAGAAGCAAAACTAATACAATGCAAGGCTTGAGATGCTTCGTAATACACCTACTTTAATCAGCTCGCTACAGAGTGAACCTATCGCATTCTCCTTTTCCTTTATTATTCTTTATTTAGTTAATTTTGTCTCTCCATTGTCTAGTTAGCTCTTTTATTTCTTGATTGTTCATCGGGAAACTTATCTCTCACTACGTTCGAAGATACTTGGCCCTCATTAAGCTTGTTAATTGTTTAATCAATCATCTGATTTTTATGTTATCTTTAAAACAAAAACTCTACTCGTGCACTTTCTCAAAATTTGGCATTAAAATGCTTAATATTTCAGACCAAATGTCTTGAGACTATCGTAACAAGGCTGGGTAGGTTTTTTGGTGGTATAAAATATGGCAGGCACATATGAGTTATTTTAAGGGCTTCGGTTTATCGATATCTGTCAATATATTTCAAACTAAAAAAATAGCTGATAGTAATCGGTGACTGTCAAAGTCCTTCGAGAAAGTCATAAAAATATGAAACATATTCTTAATGGTTATACTCCTGTTATTGGATTGATTTTTTCATTTGGCGCAAATCTAAGAATAGATACGACTTGACGACTCGGCAAAAATTCTTTGGTGGTGAAAGATTAAGCTAATTATACTCGAAGAAAAATTGCAGCCACCCTCCATGAATATGATAGTCATAAAAATAATAAATCAATAAGTGAAATCTAGAAGTCAAAGAGATCTCGTGTCAGTAAAATTGGCAATCGGTCGATCGCTTCCTCTCATGACAGTTAATTCAAATTGAGTGTATATAATAATAATCCAATAATTTATTCATCTTCATCGAGCTTAACACCTATTAATTAATAATAATATTCTTTGTCTACCTTGCGCGAGTCAATTAGATTAATTCACGTAAATATAATCATAGAAGTATCAAGATTAACAGATTTTTCATGAACGCCTTGGGCGTTTAAATCTCGAAATCGTCGATAATTATTTCATTTTAGTTTGTGGCTTAGTGAAAAAAAAAATCATAATAAATGTTAAGTGAATAACAATAATTGCAAAAAATAGAACGAGTACGTAAGAAAAAAAAAATTAATAGGGGAAGTTGCTTTCTTTGTTTTTGGGGGGAAGGGAAGGTCATTTGTAGTTGTATCTGTGGTTAAACTTACGGTCACACACGAATGGCTTGTCGGAGTCACCGGCGTCATAGTTTGCTTTTTTTCGTCCTCGTCCACCGCCCTGGAACATCACGAATGATCCATTGGTGATGAGTTTTTCGATTTCTTCGAGATTAACTCATAAATCAAGTGATGAAATGAATTGAATTGAAAAATATTTTTATAGCAACGGATAATTACTTTAGATCTTTTCGGTCCTGGACTGTCAGTAGCTGGTGGATGACTCCTGGCAGGATGATGTCCTCCACCTCTGGGTCCTCTTCTTCTTTTTCTCTTACTGCTGTAGCTCTCCTCGTAATCGTAATCACTGTCCTGGTCTCTCTCCTCGAAGGCATCCATATCCAACATATCTTCTTCGTCATAGTACCACGCATCCTTGCTGTGTTCGTCTGCGAAATTCATGGGGAAACCTGAATTCAGTGATTAATTACCATGAAAGTCAGAGGGGAATGTATCAACGGTTTGTACCTTTGAGGGTAGCTGATTCTTTGCTGTCATCATTGATACCCGCCACGTTTCCATCTACTTCGATTCCATCGTCCAGGTCGCCTCGACCTCGTTTCGGATGTAGGTAGTGCATTAGGTACTGTCTCCGCTTTTTTCTCCATCTTTTACTGGGATATGTGTATATTTGGCCGTGCTGGAGACCAGGGAGACGCTCCCTCGAGGACATGAACAGGTTCGAGTGGTTCTGGGCGACTCCTGTACACAATATCCATAATATATTTATTAACGAGTACTTCTGAGACCCCTCGGTCAATATGAAAAACAAATTTTTCATTCTCAACCATTGATTAATGAAAAAATTTGCTTAAACCCAAAAATGGAGAATATATTAATCGACCATTCGTTTCGATCAATAATTCACGATCAAAGCCGAACGATATATATTTCAATCCGCAATTACATACGAATAATACAGAAAAATATTCAAAATTAACAATACCAGTTTGGGAATCGAGGAAAGGCATTCGTAATCTCCGTTCTCGGCATAATCTGCTGTTGTAAGTGGATGAATTCTCAATGGCTTCCCTGTACGCCGTGTCGTTGAGAAAGCTGTTGAAAATTATCAATTATAATTTGTCTCCGTACATTTTACAAGTGAAAAAATAAATTGCGCAAAATTTACCTCTCAATTTTGTTGAGATTCGCCTCATTGACGACATTAATGATGGAATGCGTTGACGGCAAAGCCACCGCCGTCATTTTGTCGTCAAGCGTTTCTGGATGGAGTTCAGCCCAATGCTGGGAGACTGCTGGGAAAGTTCAACTGGTCAATAGAAAAAAAAAAAAAAAACCCATGCCAACCACTCCGAAATGCCGTCAATAGTTGCGCTCGGAAACGCTCGGGCCTTTCCGTACATCCCCGTAGTATAGACATATAGATTTAACGTAACGTAAAGTTTCATTCACAATATACGAGAGGAGTATCAAATAGGAGTAAAAGGATAAATTACATAATATGCTGAATTTCTTTATTATCTTTATTCAAATATTACGGTACAACCGAAGAATATTCACTGAAAGTTTTATATATATGAAATATATGCAGAGATATATTAAATGCTGAAAAGCACGTGACTATTCTCGTGCATAAATAAATTACGCGTCCCCTTTGCTGTCATTTATAGCTAAGACATTGTGAAAAACGATGTGTTAATTTGATCTGCTGTATTTGAGGAGAATCTATTGGAATTTTTCCTCACACATGGGATCTTTAGTTTCCTTGAACTTCTGGAATTTTCTGATGAGCTCGTCGGTCTGAATTTCCCCATGAACAACGTTATCCCTCGTTCTGACGTTCACGGTTCCAGCGGCTTTTTCCTTCTCTCCGACAACTAGAAAATTAATTATGAGATTAATTAGATTGATTAATTTTCTGACCGATTGGTACACGTATTGCTTAGCAGGGGTTATTACCCAGAATGAAGTTGAACTGCGCCAGTTGAGCATTTCTGATTTTTTTATTCATGGTATCACCATCGTCAATGTCAACTTCAGCCATGAATCCAGCATTCCAGAGCTTCTCCTTCACCTGGAAGGCATAATCATCCAGCGGAGGCCCCACTGGAATAACCATAACTTGTCTAGGAGATAGCCAGAATGGCCACTTCCCTGCATAAGACTCTGTAAGAATAGCAATCATTCTTTCAACAGAACCGAGAATGGCTCTGTGAATAATGACAGGTCTTGTCTTTTCTCCATGCTCATTCACGTAAGAAAGATTGAACCTAATAGGCAATTGGAAATCCAACTGAATAGTAGCGCACTGATGTGGCCTCTTCAGTGCATCCATAATTGTGATGTCAATCTTGGGTCCATAAAAAGCTCCATCACCAGGATTGAGAAACCAGGCCTCGCCAAAGGTATCCAAACTCTCAGAAAGTGCCTTCTCTGCATCATTCCATACCTCGAGCTCCCCGAGGTACTTCTCAGGCCTCGTTGCCAAGCAAAGCTTAAAAGTGAAACCAAAAACAGTGTAAATGTGTTTCAAAAAGTCCAAAGCTCCCAGTATCTCCTCCTTGATTTGCTCATGGCTGCAGAAGATGTGAGCATCATCTTGCTGAAATCTACGGACTCTGGTGAGACCAGTGAGGGCACCAGACAGTTCATTACGGTGGAGAACACCAAAGTCAGCCATTCGCAGAGGCAACTCCCTCCAGGACCTATTTCGAACGTCGAAGACCATGCAGTGACCAGGGCAGTTCATCGGTTTGAGTGCAAACGTCTCCTTCTCAATGTCAAATGAGAACATATTATCAGCATAATGCTGCCAATGTCCGGAGGTCTGCCACAATTTGACATTGTACATATTCGGAGTGATGATCTCCTGGAAACCCCTCTTCTTGTACTCAGCACGCATCATCTCTACAAGGGTATTATAAATATGAGCTCCACGTGGTTGAAAAAAGCAGGAGCCTGGCGAGAGCTCGTGGAAGAAAAACAGCTCCTGCTCCCGCCCTATCTTTCGATGGTCTCTCTTGGCAGCCTCTTCCTGGAACTTCTCCCACTCCTTCAACTGCTTACTATCCGGAAAACTAATTCCATAGATACGTTGCAGGCTCTCAGCGTTGGCATTTCCCTCCCAATAAGTCGACGAGTTCTTGGTTATTTTTATGGCCTTAACTTTACCAGTATTTCGTATATGAGGACCTCGACAGAGATCGATCAGAGGGCCACACCTGTAGACAGTGGTCGTCGGTGTAGTGACTTTCTCGTTGAGAATTCTCACCTTGAACTCATTGTACTTGAACATCTCCAAGAGATCCTCTTTTTTCATCTCCAAACGCTCGAATGGTTGTTTATCTTTCACGATGCTCTTATAGAGAGACTCAAGGTAAGGGAAATCTGTGTTGGAGATTCCCTTCTCTCCCAGGAACATGTCGTAGTAGAAGCCATTCTCGATTGGGGGACCATAACAGAGGCAGCCTCCGTAGACTCGTTCCATGGCTTCACCAAGAATGTGAGCGGATGAGTGCCAGAATACCTGTTGGCCCTCTGGATTATCGAATTTTATCAGCTCCAGCTTGCAATCAGACTCCAGTGGTCTGTCCAAGTCCCACAGGACGTTGTTGACTTTCGCAATGACCGTATTGTCTGCTAGACCCTGACTGATACCTCTGGCAATGTCGTAGGGGGTAGAACGCCAGGACTGCGCTGGAATGTTCTTTCCATCGGGAAGGGTAACCGTAATCTCGGTGGAGACTTTTCCAGCCACTTCTGCGTCATAGTCAGCTTTCAGTTTATCCCACAGGTCCAAACGTTCCTACAATTTTTATTTACACTCCATAATTTTGGTCTGGATTGTCTTTTTATCTTCTGTATTCCCTACCTGAATATATGCAGGCCATGGCTTCAACTCGGTGACTGAACTCTTCTCAGGTGCTGGCTTCTTCTCTTTACCCTTCATTTTAGCCTGAAATTTTAAATTAAGTTACGGTTCGAAGGACACCATTGAGGTTAGCCGATGAACGCCATGCGTTCAGGGTGCGTTAAAGCTCAGCGACCCAACAAAAGGGGATTATTTTGGATAAAATCGAGAGGCTGATTGGAGAGTGTTACGATGGAAATTTCGCCTTTCTGAGGATGAAAAATATGTAAATATTTCATAACCAACCCAAGCATGTTTCCACATAACACCGCATTGTGAACAGCCACGGTATCGCAATATGCTCAGCATATTTATTGTTCAAATGAATCTATGGGAGTTTAGTATGAATTTTAATTGATATAAATTTCAAGCATGCCTTTTCGGTTTTAACATTGAGTTTTTCAACGCCGGTTGTCACGTCGTCACTCATGATGATCACGATAAAACGGATTTTCTGGATAGACTAACCAACTCTATACGTCACGAATGCTGCGATGTGTCTATGTATAAACTCTACACTTCTACATTATCGCATGACGCAATCCTTCAAAAAACTGTAATCAAAGTCCCTCATACCGCGTATTTCCACTAAAAATGCGGGAAAAAAGATTCAAATAACTATGAATAATGGTGTAATCAGTAATTTACAATGTTCAATAATCATATAGTCGAACTATTAATTTCTTACCCTCCAATATTCGTAATTACCTGAAAATATTGAAAATATCGGTGTAAAACAGTTGTTGAATTGCATAATTAATTATTTATTTCATGATTGATTATCCTTTTAATGATTTGATATTCTTTAATTAGTATGGATTGAAACGCCTTTCATGTTAAAAATGATTACATTGGGGAGAAATGAAGGAAAACTCGGGTAAAAAAATTTGATAGGAAATTTAATTAACATCAGAAGCAGTAAAATTGAATTGGAATCTCTCTTCAGTTTGACTCTGTCTAAATACTTGTGCGATATTCGTACTTGAAGATTGGCCATTTGTAACCATTGAAGGTTCCACTCCACTCTCTGTTAACCCTTTCGCTTTTTTCAAGAATATAGATTTATTTTCATTGGGCTTGGGAACAATAATTTTTACAGTGGAAGCACTTTTACTGTGTTTCTTCTCCTCTTGCAGCATTTTCGCTCGATAATCCCCAAAGGTTGTTCTCATAATTTGTCTCTTCTGGACCAAAGGCACATTATTACTCTTTAATAGCTTGAGACTTTTGTGGGCCTCCCGAGTTTGCTTGTCTCCCAATTTATTGGAAGTCATGCTGAGCTCCAATTGCTGAATGCACCAGCACAGCTCAAGCTCGAATTTATTTTCAGTTTCGAGATTTAATCCACTGGTCGATGGCTCTATTGATTGAGGATTTTGCAATTGCTGAGGAACTGGTTTGGGGGTGACTTTTGGAGGGAATCGCTTGCCTCCCTGAAATAATATTGTGTCAACACATCTTTAATAATCAAATTAATGTTTTGAAGAAGAGAAACTGTAAAGACCTACCGGTTTGAATTTAGGGGCCATTGTGGCTAATTAATATTGAACTCAGGTACAGTTTCTACTCATTATTTGATGAAACTTGCCACTGGAGTGTCAAACACTTGTCAGCTGTCCACGTGCTCTCCGAAAGCAGTAGGGACAGCATGAGAACCAGAGAAGATTGACTAAAGTAGAGGCTCAGTTCTAGGGGTTTGAGTGACCCCAGCGGCGTTGTAGTACTGCACCCCAAGAGAAGGAGGGCACCACACGCGATGCTCTCCCTCTCTTGGGGTGCAGTACTACTCAGCCTCTACTTTACTCAATCCTCATTGGGCCACTCAAACCCCCAGGACTGCGCCCCCACTTTAGTCAATCATCTTCGATGAGAAGTCATATGATGATGGATAAAAACGATTTCGCTGGCTGGTAAAGGAGATTTTCCACTTTAATTTTTCGTCTTACCACTATAGCTACAAAAAAAATATCACACGTTCCTCTAGGACCCCATTGATATAAAACTTGATAAATCCTAAATTACTTTCTGTTATCAATTATTTATTAACAATGATCCAGTGGTAAAAATCAAATAAATACAGAAATAAGATTGGTTTTGTTAGTCTCGATTTTTATTACATACACTCGTGCTGGTATAGAAATATCGTAGAAATTCAAATATTCGTCCATAATGAATGAAAACAGAAAATTTGTCGGATAATGCATTGAAACTCAATTTTACATCCAAATTGCTTTATCTCCAGAATTTTTTTTTTGTCACAACTTTATAACGTACATACACAAGAGTGACTTATTATATATATTATAAGTATATGTATATACATATATATAATAAGTATAACGAATTTCAATTTTTATACAAACATCCAAAATACGGGGATCGTATTACAGTACGATAATAATAAACTCTTCCGATGACGTATGAAATGAATTCACCTCTTTGATCTCTAGAAATCTCAAACAATTGTACTATATTTACAGAGAAAATTCATATTTCATTTTTTGTTCCTTCATATCAATTTGTTTTACACATTTTGCATCATACTTTGGTATTGAATGGAAAAAAAATGGAGAATAACTGTCTTCTCTCGACTCTCAAGTCCACTTGATTCATGTTGCACTCATTAACGATTGCATGTAGCATTAATTATATTACAACGTCATTCACCATTCACGCAATTATCGTATCTACTTCTTTCTGTTACTTCCAACCGTTTCTTTTTATATCGTCTCCCTCAGGCTTTCACATTTCGAATACATCCCGACGGTAATTTACATATTACAATTTTCAATATTCCGACGTCTGAGAAGAATGATAATTTTCTTTAAATGGTAACGGTGAAATGAGAAGGTGTCGATTTTTTAAATTCAGTCACGTTTCGCTGAAATGATAAATTACTTGGATTGAAAGGTCTACTATGTACACGGTATATTTAGAGGATGAAACTAGGGACTCCCGGTGTCGTGATGCAAGGAATCACTGTCACTCTCTAAATAGGTAACGTAGCTGTCTGTACTATCTGGATGTTGACCCATGTCTGGACCACCGACAGGATGATGTGGTCCAGGTGGTGGCAGTGGACCACCACCGACCCCATCATTCATTGGACCCCCCAGCATTCCAGGTTGAGATAATTGAGGAGGTGGACCCCCATGTATGTCATATCCATGCATCTGTCAAAATTAAAATATTCATTGCAATGAAATTGAAATTGGTGGGCAAAGATATGAATAACAATTGAGAACATGTCAATTGATTGTCATTAATAAATGAAATACCTGAGAGACGAGGTGATGGAATGACGGCGCATTGGGATCCATTCTGTCGAGATCAGTGTGTAGGGCAAAATCAGAAAGTGCTTTCCACGGTGGTTGATACGCTTGTACCTCAAGGGGAGTCATACCAATTGGACTCTCATGCCTCACAGGACTGCTGGCTACCATTGGAATACCATGCATACCACCGAAGCCCAGTTTTCTGCCATCCTGAAACCCAGAGTACTTCGTAATGTTAGACCTTCTCAGATACAATCGATAAAATACACGATAAAAATGGTATATAAAATTCCGTAGTCGAACGGAATGTGGAAATAATAGGGTAGTAAAAGAATATTCTCAGATTCTCTTAAATATCAAATAGCTGAATTATTTTTGTTATACCTTTTCCTGCTGCATCTGTTGTTTCATTGCAATTGTCTTCTTTTTGTCTTTGCAACGTTTGTTCTGGAACCACACTCTGATGACTCTCGGGCTTAGACTTGTCATCTCGACCAACTGCTCTTTCATGAGAGCATCGGGTCTTGGATTAGCTGCATAACACGTTCTCAATGTGTGCAATTGTTTTTCATTGAGGACCGTTCGTACTCTCGTTGGTTTTCCATCGGAGCCACCTCCACTCTTATGACCACTAGATCCTCTTGGTCCAACCCCGGTCTTGTGCGATCCACTCTCCGATCCAGAATCTATTGGCGAGAAGAATATTCAACACATCAATTGGTGTAATCAATTGGATAAAAAATAGTCAATCTTCCTGGATGTTCCTTGTGCAATGAAATTTCATTTTTTTCACGTTTTTTTTTTCTTTCTTCCCGATGACTAGTATTCCATGAATTACTTTCGCATGTCTAAACGACAGCCATAAATGCAAATGAGACGTTGAGGACGCATCTCTTGGCATAACTTTGGTGGAGAACGCAACCAAAAAAGTATAAAACCAGTCGGTTCGAACGATGTCCAGGTATATGTGTGTATAGAATCACCTTGCTCTTTGGCCATAGGCTTGCGTGCAGACTGCGGAAACTTCGTGTTCGACTATTTACCTTCGGTGAAAACAGAAGTGAAGAACAGGATGGACAAAAAATCAGGAGAGACGACGAGAAAGAGGATGAGAACGTGAAAAGAGAGAAGACAAAATTTCAAGGAGTAAATGAAATCCGTGGAGCTTATCTCTCGTTTTGTGCAGGTCTTAACCAAATAATCGCCCCAAGACGTGCGCACGTTTTACCAGTGAAAAAAGGGCGACGAAATTTGGAGGCCCAACATTGGGGAAAAAATGGAAAAATATTGGGGCAAGATTTGAGGGATTGGAAAATTATAGATTTTTTGTATTTTCTTCTGTGACGAAAGGGGAGAGCGATTGGAGAAAATTATCAAAGCACAAAAGACAAACATGGAGTTGTTCTCCTTTTTGTTTTTATACGTTTTTATTTGTTTAAAATAAAAACAGCATGTGGATTCGAAGTGGATTCCACTCGTGTAGTTGAATCTCGAGTGGCTTGGGTGCGCGGTGTATTTTGAAAGGAGAAGGCGCGCGGTATTAGCCTTTGATGTCAAACCCTGAATGTCGCTATAGGTATCTCGGTCAAACAGATATACCAAAACGTACATTTCACTCGGTAAACGTGGATCACCAAGATATCGTTTTCCACTCCAACGTAATCTCAACAATCCTGATAATCATCGATACCATCTTTCCGATTTTATTTGATTATCGATAATTGCTAAAAAAAAAAAGACGAAAATAATCGGGACCAACTCCAAATAGAACTATCCAAACCGATTAAATGATCGGTAAGCGTACAATATTAATTAACAAAGTCGTGATAAGAGTTGTTTCAATAAAGATGATCCCATTGGAATATCAGTGAAATCTCGGATGATAAAAAATAAACAAGAGGTGTTTGAAAAAGGAAGAGGCAAAGTCGTGCGTCCAAGTGTGCTACAGTAGTTGGCAAGTTGGTGTCACATTTGACACCTTCCTTGAGGCTGTAAAGACCCCAACATACACTAAAGTTAACAAATCCTAACCGTACACAGACGTGATGCACACATGTTTAAGAAAATTTGAGATGTCATAAATGAAATACACACGTGAATACATACGTTTCAATGAGCGTAATAAACACTGGGGTGGTGAATGAGAAAAGGGCTACCGTATGTAGCTGGTAGGCGTGCATAAACAATTGTACCCGTCAATTAATGCCTCTCGGAATTTGCACTTGTCATTTTGAGTTTTGAGACCGTGATAAGTCCGATTAATCCCAGTGAATGTGGGCATAAGTGCGGGGTATGAAAGGCTCAAGTTGGAGAAGCTTAAGAGCTTCCAATTATCAACACGTAATTACGCATGTGAAGATCCTAACGCAACATCCACTGACCCTTTTGTTGTTGCTACTGGGATTGTAACTACCCTCTTCATAAATTTGCTCATTCGAGCGCAATCCCTTGATGGGGAGGGGATTCATGGGTTATTTAACGCAAATTATTTGACCGTGTCAGAATGCTCATGTCAATTCACTCTATGATTTTCGGTTTTATTTGCTCGAAACTCTTGGGAAATCAGTGGGAATTGTATAAAATTTTGATAAATTCATTGGATATTTATTATCTTACCGGATAGCGATGCGTCGTTTGCTCCTAAGTGATGATTATTGTTCGTAAGGGTTGCATTGTTGTTGTTCTCATTACCTGCGCTGTCAACAGCGCCTGTACAGAATTTTCCACTCTCTAAGATGTCATGATCATGCCGGCAGAACAGACCATCGTGCCTCAGGGCAAATTGATCTCCAGTTTCAAGCTTTCTCATGCAGGCTGAACACCTGAAGCACTCCTTGTGATATATTTTCGTCTTTGCTCGCATCACTAGGTCGTTCTTATTGAAGGATTGACTACACTTGTCACATTTGGTTCCAAATAATCTGTAAATAATCGTGAGAATCAGTACTTGGGGTGATTTCATAGAAAAGTTCATCTAGGGTTTCACATTTTTTTATTCTTCAGACAGAGTCGACAAAAATCAACAAACTCCTTGACTTTCTTTTCACCCTCGTTAGATTTTTTTTTTTTTTTTGCTTTTTCTCTCGTGTCAGCCGGATACCGAATGTCCCGGTGTGACGAATCCATTTAAATAAACATTACCCCATGTCCCTCACTGCTTATTTTCAAAACAATCCCCGCACATTGTTTATTGGAATTTTGACACTGACGTAATCCGCTCGATTTTTCATTCCGCTTCGATTTATTTTTTCATCTCTCAATTGACAATATGGACAAATTATTCTGTTATTGTGAATTTATGGAGAAATGTGTCATTACAAACCTCGTATAATCTCGTTTACAGTAGGTCTTTCCGTCTCTAACGAAACATGTACATCGTTCGTCCAAAAATTGTTGGCACTCAGCGCACTTGAGGCATGCAGCATGCCATTCAAGATCTGGTGCTACTCGTAAAATCCATTGATCGTGGATCCAGCCACCGCATCCAACACACAACGAGCTCTTCACCTCTGCAAAATGCCAATCAATGATTAATGAGTTAATGGATACCTGACTCCTGCAATGCATACATCATTACAAAAATTTCATGGTTTTTAATTTTGAACGTGATGGAATTTAATATTTTTTCTTTGGTTTTTCGTGCAATTTTTTGTTTTTTGTGGTTTAACAAACGGGTAAAAAATCGCAGATGGTTGTCTCGCGGTTGTAAAGGATGGGCGTGTTCGGGGTAGGCGGTACAACATCCAGGCGAGAGAGAGAGAGAGATGAATGAGGGGTAGAGAGAGAATTGAACATGGGGAGGCGTTTGACTCCGCCCAGAATCCCAACGGGTTTTCAAGTGTATATCGAATCCAGCGCGCGAGCGCAGTCGTTAAAGATTCACTCTTTAGTTTATCCCTCTTTATGCCGATCGAAAACATGAAACTATAAATTTCAAACGGTTAGAGGAATTACTGAGACACAGGAGCAGCTATTCGCGTTAATATACGAGGATTAAAATTCTGTTGACAAAAATCGGTGGTGATTTTCAGACGATCGTTTCACATTGTTGCATTTTTATCGCATCGCCTGTAACGAGTTAAATTGATCGATAAATACCGATAAATATTACAATTGGTGTGAGTAATTTCAATTGCTCCATTTCCAAATTAAATATTACATACATCATTTAATTTTACATTATTGAAATTGAAAAATGAGGGATTTAAATGACCGAATTAATCAGCTGATCGGAGTTTGGTGAAAGGTCACTTGTTGGATATTATTTTCAACGGAAAATCCGAGTCCAAAATCGGGGAGTATTTGTTCAGTTTGTTTTGTTTACATTGCTGGGATAATTTGGAGTCGCGGTGAAGAAAAAAAAAAAAAATAAGAGGTTGAAACTAAATGTACACCTAAGGACGCACATAACACTCGGACGACTCCCAATGTCTTTGATCACCGCCGACCTTGCCGTTCCAATCCTATCTCCCTTTATCGTTGTCTCTCGCTCCCTCCCAGACGTAACCCCCTTTTCCCTCTTTCTCCCTTTTCCCCTTGTTTTTTTTTTAATTTTATTTTTTCACGAGTGTACCGGTGTCCGCGCGGCAAGTCCACCTTGTTTCCTCCCGCCGATGTGACTTGTAAAACGTGCAACGAGAGGAGAGAACCTAAAAATCTCACGCGTTTACCTCTTTCAACGCCGGTGGTACCGAGATTCATTCCTCTCCTTGTTGAAAAACCACTATTCAAATAGAATTTCATTTTATTACGCTCGAAGAGGATAAATTCTATAAATTAGCAATTCCTTAATGGAATGTGAGCCTTAAAAAATATAAATTATTGCATCCTGATGAATAACGAGAATTTCAAAACGCTGCGTGGAAATCTCACCTGAGATTACTCAAACCTGAGAGAGGAAAAAATCATGGTAATAGTCGTGGGATTATTACACCTGTCACTCGTTTATAAGAAGGGGGTGAGTGCTGTTAACAGGCGTTGATTAGTCCTGATTAGTTCTGATTAGTCTTGATTAGTTCCTCCGTGCTGATAAAGTTACAATATTTTTTTTTGTTATAAAGTGATTGAACTATTAGATCATTAACCATTGCTCTCTATTCACGACTAGATGCGGATAATTAAAAGGCTATTAATAGATGTGTCTACCGGATAAAAATACAAATCCATCGATTTCCGCGGTTTTAGTCTAATTCATGTTTATAAATTCTTTATAGTCATTGATCGAGTTTCGATGTGAATTTTCCAATGGATTTATGCGAATTTTTTTTTCTTTGCAAAATAATGTAATGAGAGGGTCGGTATTGGGCACATGTGGTTGGGAATAATTTTGATAGAGTCAAATGGAATAAAAATAAATAAGACCATATGCAGTGGAGGGGTTGGTGTTGAGTCGGCGCCGTGCCGCGTGTCAGGATTGTCTGCGTTGGCAGTTCAGAGGCGCCGACTCCTTGTTCCACGCGTACCATCGGTATTTCATTAACACCTCCGCTAATTATTTTCCATTTCCATTTATACAACCCCTGAATAAATTTAATAGGTACAACGCTGAAACATTTGGAAATATAAAATGACCAATTTTAACTTTACTCTCGATTTTCACTTTAATTTTTCACCGGTTTATTGACTTCAAGATGTTCATGGGGCCCTCCCACCGCGATCAAGATGAGGACAGTATCGCGACACGATCAGGTGATGAGACCCACAGCCAACGACTACCGTTGATTCCCAAGATTGTAATCAAAATTTCGTAAATTAACTCCGCATGCTAATTTGTCAGGCCTGAGTGAATTATTCAATTGGTTGAGTAATTAGGTTACAGTCCTCTGTGATTGAAATTTTTCAATGAAAATTTTATTGACAATGGCAGACTGGCAAGTACTTCAATAAAAAAAAATATCACCATGAAAATAGTGAAGAGAATCTAGTCCTGCTGAGGTGCTAATTCACTCTGGATGGAATAAAAAAAATACGTAGATAAAGCGAGTCGTTGGATCCGGGGAAGATTGGGTGAAAAAATCCAGAGGAAAATGTTTAAAGATTAAAGTCCCGGGGGCCAAACGAGGGCCTCATGTCGAAAAAAAAAGGAGCGCATGAGACGTGAGGGAGTGTTTCGAAAACTGCTTCGAAAAACTGACTCACGAATTAGAACCTGCTCTTTGGCGACGTCGGGGCGCCAGTTTCGACGCACAGGAATGCCGGCGTGCTGATAAAAGCTACCATCCAACACCTACATAAATTTTGTCCTCCAGAGGGATAACAGACGGGTGAGGAAAGAGGAGAAGTTCATTTGGTCCGCTCCTCTGCGTGATACACGTCCTAAACTTAGACATTCGGAGCTACTCTTTATTCATCTTTTATTTTCTTATATCGAGAGTTCGTCAGGGATCTCAATCACGAGTGTTATCGAGTGATCCAACGAGTCGAGGAATAATTCGATGATAAATCATTCCAACAGTCAAACAATGTCGCCAATATTTTTTTTTCTCGATGCAGTATAGTTTCGCCATTAATTTTCAGTGAAAGCAATATAATTCTGATCCAGTGAATCTTCAATATTTATTTATCACTCCCTCGTGAAATCGTCGATTGGTAAAATAGCGGAATTTGAAGCTGTCATATTTATTGTTATTGAGAACAATGAGTTGACCATGCGCAATTAAAGGCTCGTTTTAACAGTCAATGAGTTCACCGCAATAGGTGAGGAAAGTTATATCCCCGGGTTTATTGGGTTTCCTTCAAAAATTAAACCCAAGTGTCGTTGACGTGCCCCGTTTGGTCATCAGCATCTTTCTCTCTCGCTCTCCCCACTATTTCCTCCCGGAAAAAGTCCAGGAGGCGCCGGACCGGCTGTATCCCTCAGCTCGTAATACTCAGATTGTAAAAGCCCCAAGTATCTCGTATCCTCGGCGACCACCGGCGCCAGTATTATTTTCACCATCATAGAACTATCGAGGACAAACCCAATGGGCCAACCCTCACTGGATCCATAATCATTAGTGTCCATGTTTCGTTTGAATAAAAAAAAAAAAAGAAGAGAGATCCCTTCAAAAGGTATATGATACCGTAGACATTACTAATCAAGTTATTTGGGGACTATCGTAAAACGCTCAACAATAAATCACCCCGTTGATTTTACCCAGGCAATTGTCATAAATAATTTTCACCTTGCAACGATTCATTCAGCTCTGAGTAATTATAACACATGTTAGTTTTCGGGGATTTCCTCGGGGTACAAAATTCACTCTTCCTAAGGTTTACTTTCTCATTTAAGTGAGGATAAATTATAGCCACATTCTTCGGGATTTCCCTTGGTTGTAGAATCAAACCGAGTGGAAATTATGTCAGTCGAGCCTGAGGTCTGATCAGAACTTGATATGGCGGTGGTCAGTGCAACTGATCAGGCAGAACTTGATAAGAAATTGATTAATCTTCGATTTACCCAATCTGATCCGTACTACTCTGATCAGGTTCTGATATGGCGGGCCTGAATTTAAATTGAGATTCGTCCACCTGCAATGATTCGAATCAGATTCTGATCATCAGGTCTGATCAGGTCAACCTGACCCGAAGTTGTGCTTCCAGCAATTATTCGGATCAATTTCGGATCACGTGTGCTTGAATTAAATAATTTGATTATCGACTTATTATTGTTGTTATCAAGAGTATAATTGGTGAAATTTTTATCGAGTAAATATAATGTAAAAAAATGATTAATTTGTTATTTTATATCTTTAATTTCGGTTATCAATTACTAATCCGTTTTGTTTGATCAAACCCTGATTCGGCACGCCTGATCATGATATTCATTCTGTGAAGTACCCCCTGTCTCTCAAGTCTTAAAGATATCCAAAATTAACAACCATTTCTGAAAGTTAACAAATGTGTTTGTTTATCTAATACCATAATCCAATAACACATTGATATTAATTCGTTGTAATTAATTTAATGTCTTATTAATAGGATATGACTAATTGAATAAGCGGATCAATTTCATCGCGAATTATCTGAAAATAGATATTTATTCGCAATAGAAAATGAGGGATAAATGAAGGAGTAGAAATGCCGGCTGGGGACGGAAAACCGTAGGAAAATTTCATTTGGTGTTGGGTGAAATTTGAGAGTTTTTTTTTTTTTTTGGTGGGAGAAGATAACTTGCCGTCAGTGATGCGAATCCGGGGGATAGGAAAAAGGAATGGCAGAAGCGTAGGCCTAATTCAATTGCAGGCCGCCGCTCCGCAAACACTCATGATAATTCAATCGAGTCTGTGCACCCCAACATCCCACATCAGGGGGTCCAGAGGGGGGGACAATCTTTTTTCCTACTCCAGTGGCACCCGCTACCCTTCTCTCACTCTTTTTCATACATCATACGCTTGGATCATTGCCGACGGGTTTCAATGATGTTTGTGTGTGTATTTTGTATACCGTGACATAAAGGGAAAGGGGGGGGGGATACGTTAAAGTATCTCGTAATCCAACGACGAGAACATCTGCAGTAATCGGGTAATGATGAGGACGGTACTTCGGGGAAATAAAGAAAAATAGAGGATCGCCATGGTTAATTTATTGAGCGTGAATTGAAATAGCGATTGATTTTTTCTATTGCGAAGGGAAATTAATCATTGGCAAGGATCAATCGAGATCCATTTGCAGATGAAAGTTGTGGGTACTGATTGAATTCCTCAAATTTTTTTATTGGTATTTTTTGGATAGGTGGAATATGAAGAATTTGCAAATCTGAATTTTCTATGAATATTCGTATTTCTCCACAATGGAAGTAGTTCGTCACTTGGATCTGGCGAAAATTAAGTGAAATCTCGAATGATTCAGATTCTTCTAAAAAAAGCTCAGTGCCTGAATGCTGAGATGACTGACAATTACTCGATTGTCTTCATTATATATTCCGCCAACTTAATAATTGAGTAATGGTGACATATTGACAGACAGAATCAGCTGAGAAAATCGGATTCGTTACAATTGCACAGCCCTCACTCTTCAATTGGGGTCCCGAAAGACATGACTTTTGTGACCGATTTGATGCCGATAATTATTTGAAGAAAAATTAAAATGATATGTAATGAGGGGATTAATGAAGTGGAAGCACTTACTTTGTGAAATAGGGTCAATGGGTTCGTCCTGCACCTTAATCGGTGATATTTTGACACTCCTGGGTGGGCCCTGGAGGCCAATGTGTCCGGGCCCTCCGATCGGACCCGTTCTCTGCATTACGCTGGAGCCCCCTATTTTGGGTCCGTTGCAACGACGCTAAGCGCCGATCTCTTTCGTCTTATCGTCCAAGTACTCAAATCACTCCAGTACCAAATATCACTTCACTTGAACTTCAATTCGAATATCTATTATCCAATTAATTTCTTCATTTTATCCACACAAAAAAAAAAACCCCAACGAATATCTGTAACCAATAAATCGAACCCCGTTCGATCCGTTATTCGTTATCGCAAAACGTCAAACTCGCACACGATTAAATCATCCTTGGTTGAGATCATGGTTGAATCGATCAATTAATCATCACCATTTGCCATTGCCATTTGAGCTGTCATCTTCGGGCCCTCATAATCCACCATTGGGCTCCGTTTTCAGTATAAAAAAAAAATCACCGGGGACTCACCTCATACTTCCAATAGAAAGACACGAATAATTCAACCAATTGGTGACTGTTTAAAATTTTAAAAATAATTTTCAAATAATTATTTTCATTGCTTCGATAGGATTTGGTGTTTTGCTGGGGATGGGGAGTAGTACTAGTTGATGTCACAAAACCGTTTTTTCTTTAGATTTTTTTTTTTTTATAATAAATAATAACTGGTTGTTTAAGGGATATTGCGTGGAGTTGTTGTGTATATTATTGGATGGAGCAACCCCGACGATGCTGACGACGCGGGGCCCGAAGAGGCACTGACTATTCCTCGATTTCTCCCCTCGTACAAGTCTCTTCTCTCTCACTCATGCGTTTACCCCTCCACCTACGGCTCTCGTGTTTCTCTACTCTTCATAGTTATAACATTTAAGCCCCTCTCTTTTGCGGGGGGATGGGGAAGAAGAGATTTGGCTTTCCCCTCGACAACCGTCTACCTCCACGCCTCCGCTGTATCCCATTGGATCCTACACCAGATACGCCAACAAAATGGCCGACACCCTAATCGATTCCCACCACCACCTTCATCCACCTCCACAGTCCACCTACAACTCGACGTTGGTAACGCATCTTTTTTTTTACTCTCGTTACTTCACTATCAATTTTTACCATTTTATTTACGCATTTTTTTTATTTTTTCCTCCGTTCGGCTGAGATCGATCTCCGGATTCTAGAGACCGTGGCATTGGTTTCGTATTTTTTAACGAATTTCTTCGGTTTAGCGTTGAATTTTTGCAGTGATCTCACCATTCGGGAAAATCAGTTTTTTTTTTTTTTGCATAGCTGATTTTATGTTTTTCGTCTCGTCATTTGCATTTGGAATTTTCCCGCAATTTTAATACCCTGATTTTAATCGTGTATTGAATTATTATTGAATTGTTTTTCATTTTTTGGTGTCACATGTCTCATTTCTTTTCCTCCACATCTGCTTCGAAGTTCGAGATAAAATCCAGTGACACGTTTGAAATGCACGCGGAGGTAGAAAAATCGTGCACGGTTGAGTGAAAAGTCCCTAATCCGACGAGAAAGCGCACACCTTTTTTCACTAAGCGCAATTGGTAACTAAAATGTGCCTCAACCAAACCGAGCGCAATAAAACCCCCGACTGCTCTTTTTTTCGCCTTCGAAAATATTCACGCCTCAATAGTACTCACTCTTGTCTCGTTTTTTTTTTTTTTTTTTAAGAAAAAGAAAGAAACGCGGTCTTTAGTCGTGTGACACTCCCCAGTGATTTTCAATGGGAATCCCCGAAATCTCGAAGTCCATAGGAGCAAAAAAAAAAATTGGTGCAAGAAATGAAGATGCTACCGGAGGAAGGCTCTTATAGGAAGAAAAACACCGCCGACAAAGATATCAGGGACTTCCAGATGCTCTCGATGAAGTGCCTCCGGATTCTGGTACTTGGAGCTCCACCGGAAAGAATCAATGACTGAAATTTCTGGTACAGGGATTTTCATCGGGGAAAAAAAAATCAATGTACCGAGTAAATTTAGTCAATCCCGGGGAAATGGTTAATTGTGGGGTTTTTCGTGTGAACGACGATCTTGTGGGTTTCACCTAGATTTTAGAAGGCGCTGGATCGGCAGATTTTCGTCCTAATCTCAGGGGAACTTCCCTAATTTTAAACCCCTAATTTTCTCTCAATCCCCGTAAACAAGCATTTGTACAATGGGGAAAATTTGTTTTTTATTTGTCTATCCGAATGCCAAAAATATGAACTTCAAATTTATTCAAATGATGAACGTAAAAATAACATTTCAACTTCAATTTTCCTCGTGAATATGCAATTTCTAAAAACTTGAAGTGCTCCAGTAAAATATGCTCAATACCTCTAAAAAATTAGGGGTTGATTCCAGGTAGACTTAACTCACCCCCCCCCATCACCAAAGGTGAAACATAAGAACTAATCCCTCGAATATTACGTGAAGATGGAGTAAAACAGGGCATTCTCGAATTTGTCCTGTTTGTCGAGTTCTCCAGTTGCAGAAATAAGTTCGTATAGCTAGGGCTGAAGGATAATCCCTACACCTGTGTTATCCTAATCCAAGGTGTCTTCGACTTAGGCTTCCGCTCCGATTCACCCAACGAAGAAAACGATACTGATCTTCCGGTCACTAGGTGCGTACACATCTCGACGATAAGGACGACCTTCTTATGCCACCCCAGGGAGGTCTCCAGACCTGATAACTTCTGGAGATGAGTTTCACAAAAAAAAAAATAAAAATAAAAATAAAATCACGTTCACCCGCGTTCACCCGCGACAGTGTCTCGATTCCCCAGTTCATGCCTGCGATTTGAGGCAGGTAAACTCATAAATTATCGGATCCACCGCCAAAGGTACAAATGAAACCGCAATGCTGTCATCTATCCATCCCTCATTGCAGTATCAAACATCGAACAAAAGATACTCCAGTGGAAGACTCACCAAAAATAGTGGGCAATTTTGTTTTCTTTTTTTTTGTCACCCAGATATATGAGTTCCGTTTGAAGATGAAAAAGATGTAATGGATACTATGAGTTTTGATGGCGCCAGTCTTTACGATCTCAGTGTGGGTATCCGTCGGGGGACAGTTCCTACCTAAGTACCTTCAAAAGAATTTTTACAGGCGTTTCAACTTTTTCCTTTGGTGCATCACCATTTACGTAACGCACGAGCTTGACATTTTCCTAGCATTACTCATCGCACAGTAGAGGAGTGTCGTAAATAAAAAAAAAAAGCTGAACATGAGAGGATACCGATATCAGAAAATTCCTCTGATTCTCCTGGTATCTGTTTCTACTCTGAGATTGTGAACATAGTGAGCACTGATTCTGGTAACATATCCACCGATTTAGATACCATTATCACTGTCTACGGATGAGGGCGGAAGGGGTACAGGTAAAAAGATGGGGATGGGAGGGATTTGAGGGGGCACTTCAGGATTCAACAACTTTGAACTTGAAAATCATTCTCGAAATCATCTGCATTATTTGATTATTCAGAAGTACAAGTAAATTTTTCAGAGTATCTCGTTATCTTATTGGAGTCTCTGGTGGTGTCTTTTGGTAATGGTGAGTTTGTGTGGTGAATACTAAAAGGTGTATATTCTCATGGAGGAATGTTGTGTGTGTCTGTTGAAAATCGCTCCAATGTGTATTAAAAGGGGCCAAAGCGTGCGCGCCGTTGTCGGCGCACTCTGCACTCCGGTTGCCCCGTTATCTCGGCACCATCTCCCTTGGCTAAAAGCTTCTCCCCATCAACCTCCTCACAACCTTCCTTCACCCCCTCGCATACCCTCCCATCCCCTCACTCCCTCTTTATCCTTCTTGGTTCCCTCCAGTTGTCCATTCTTCTCATCTTCTCAGTATCATCTTATAGTTTCATCTCTGTTGGTCCACGAGTTTCATTCTACTTTTATCCTCTATTCACGACCAAACGACACACCAACCTCTTTTACACTCATTTCTGGACGTTCTCGATGCATTTTAGAAAATCTTCCACCCCTTGTCATTTCACAAGGGTAATCCTCAAATTTTTGTCTATTTGGGTAGAGGACAACTCCAACTCGTCATCTGCGGCTCTAATGATTGTCCTGGTTAACATGATGTTTTGGGTGGTGCTGGGGCCTGTTTTACATTTTGAAAATTTTTTTTTAAAGCCTGATGGGTGGTTTTTTGGAGACAGGGCATTTCGCGGGATTTTCCAAGGTTTATGATTTTTGGATTAATTTTCGGTTGGAGGATGCTCGTTGGGTGATGCTCGTTGGGGGAGGGTTGGGGAGAAATTGGTGAACATGATCGTGATGATATTTTTTTTTCAGTCAGTTGTGTATGTATTTTCAAGGGGTGTCAGCCAAGCCCGGGAAAGGCCCCGAGGATCGATACCGCACATCCGCGCAAGTCTATACGAGACAGGCATTGGTCTCCATTTCCACGTGTTCTATGGAAAATGAAAGGAGGAAAAAGAATAATAATTTCATTACGTCTCTCTCTTATTGGGGGAAAAATAGAATTACTGGATAAAGTGCGAGTAGAGGGGTAGGAAAATTCCTGGGTCTCCATGATGCAATTGAATTTCCCTCAGACCGGTCATTCCTTGAAAATTGATAACAATTAAATTATTATATCGAAATGGAAGTCTTGCGTTTGATGACGCGTGGTCTTGACACGATTGATCGAATTATTCAGGTGGAGAGTGGTGAGAATCGATGTAATGACTGAAATTGTTGCTTTGGACAATTTATTGAATAAGTGAGAGGTGATAGAGTGCAAGGATTATTCGATAATGACTGACTCTGAATTTAATCCATCGGAGTGTCTTGTATTTTATCTTTTATTTTCTCTCTGGTGAGAATGCCGATGAACAAATATAAAAAGTCGGCAATCTTTTGATCCGTGAGGAGGTGGCACTGGACCCACGAGCCACAAAACACACCTGCATTCTCAGGGATCCACCAGGAGGGATGTGTCAGGAGTTACAACGTGTCTATTTACAATGGGCCTGGGGTGGGCCCTTCTTCAAAAGATGTATCAAAATGCCCACTGAATGAATCCTTCAGTCAAAGATTTACAGATTACATCCTGCGGAATTCCTTTCATCCACGAAATCTTAATGTGACGTTTTTCGTCTGATACTTTTGAATAATTCTTTTTTAATAATCAACTTCATATCATCTCTCGCATTGTCGGGATCAAGTTGTTAAACCTCAACAAAATTTCATTCCACTAAGAACATTAACAATTTCAGTTGGAAATCATTTCCATGAATCGAGGATGAAACCTCCATTATCTTGGACTAATGGAGGCTTTAAATTTGATAATGGATCATTTTAGCAATTTCCGTTCGTTTGATTTCCGATGGAGATATTTTAGGAGATTCCATTCAAATTCCCGATTCATCCGAAAAATTGATTGAACAAATTCATGTATTATCTCAATAAATATATCATTATTATGTAGTATTAAAAAAAATATAGAATGTAGATTGGGCAGTTATAGAATTTAGTTTCAATATTCTTCACTGACTGTTCGCTTGAATGGTTTATCGGCGCCGATGTGGAATTCCCCGTGTCATTGGGGAACCGGGTTTAGATGGAAGACAAAAGGTAAAAGAGTAGTCTTCTAGATCCGGTAGCTGATTTGGACACGCATTGTGTCGCTCTTGCCAGCAGGCCCCTGTCATTATAAAAGAGCCGATTGAGGCCATTTAGGTATAACTATCTACCATAGTGTGTCATCGCTCAGGATTTCATTGGGTGCTATTAAA